ACTTAATTAGTTATTATGTAATCATACTGATTTATTTGAGTACAACAAAAAAATTAGGGAAATTATGGTTTTATATTATGTGACAAACTCAATTCCTGTATTGAAGTTAATATAGAAATGTTAAAAGATATTGTAGGGTTGAAATTAGTAATCAATCATTACATATTGAAGTTCTGTAATTGTAATATTAACATATAAACAGTAAATGCTTTGGAACAAAAATCTGTTTAGTTTTTAAGCTAATAGTTATTTTACTATAGTAATATAAATAGCTTATCATACATTATCATTGGTTCATATATTAAATCCACTACATATTCTATTTATTAATTAATTAATTTATTTATTTGAACACATTAATATTGGTACAAGGAGGCACCGAATATATATGCACCACACAAGTCACTTGATTTGTGTGTTGGCTGTAATACTGCTCGGTTGCCCAGAACGAAGCAGGTAGTTTTCTTACGGAAATACACCTGGAGTCTTAGACCTAGAGGTATTATCCACAAAGCAGTGGAGCAACGTAAGGAGATGCAGTCAAACGGTAGCCAGTAATCAACAATAAATTCATACTCCATTAGTTCTTTCAGGATCGTGGAGACCATATACACCATTGGTTAGGAAAAAGGGTTTTCCAACTCCTCTAGGTGGATCCCCGTGTCCATCAATCCAGTTAAAGCACCGGACATTCGCTTTTCGTCCACTCAAACAACACCTTCACCTTGAGAAGGCAATGAGTAGGACTTCTTTGGAAGTGGATGTACATGTAATCAAGTATGATTATGAAATTAAAAACTATTGGATATAAGAGTCAGCTTAAATATTGTTTATCATGGTTACGAATTGTTTAGTAATGATATATTGAAAATGAATATTGATTTCACTATGAAATCATATCATTTGAGAAGCCATTAAACTATTGGTTAACTGTTTTGCATATATCAGTAGTTTAAAAATCTCATATTTTCTAAGTCCGATTTTTATGTAGAGTTTGTAGTGTCGGTTATTGTGTTCAGTCCATATACCTTATTCTAGCTTTCGGCCAGCCCAATCTATTCATTCTAATTGAGTCATATTTTGACCTTGTTAATTATTCCCTTACCAGTCTTAACTGTTTTTATATGAGCGTACATGTGTGTACACTTCCCATCCCATTATTCATCACATGTATGTAACTTATTTTTGTGTGTTTACAAATATTAACTAACGCTTGAATAATGGGACTTGGCTTACCCGCCATCTCCACTGCTCGTCGTTTCGCTTCACATACAAAATATATGTATTCAAAAGTTCATTCTCATTATTTGACTTCTTTAATTCCGTTATTGACTAACACGATTAAAGTTGATGATTATATACGAGGATAGACGACAAATAACTTTCAATAACAATCATTCATACAATCAAATTGGAGTCAGATCCCGGGCCACCAAAGTGAAGAGCCCGTCAACAAACATCGTTCGATCTAAATGACGACAAAATAAAGGGTCCCACAAGTTACCCATAAAATGCTTAAAAGTCAAAAATTAAATTGAAATAAAGTTCTTTTAAAATTTCTCCAACTAATGTTCTCGTTTCTAAACTAGAAATTAAAGATGATTCATTTGCATGTAGATTATTCGGTAAATGGAATAATAATAATAATAATAATAATTGATAACTATCTGTCTAACTGGTACCACTTAAAGTACATTTCTACTTTACTTATAAAGACCTATAAGACACTTGTTTCTAATTGTCACGTAATATTCCGGAACATTTATTATTCTATACATTTTTCCTGTCAAAGTTGTAACAGATTTTGAGCAAAGAATACATATTTTGTTGTTTTTAAACATGGTTTCTGATGATCGTTAAAACAAATCGAATACGTTGGCATAATTTGTTTAGATTAGCAAAATATTGTAATGCGTACGTACTCTTGATTAGTCAAAAAAATTATCTGGGTAATTAGTAGATAGGTATCTTTCCCCGGTTTTACACCTCATGGGTTAGTGATTTTGTTAAGGTACTTCAAAATTAAGCTGGTTTAGTGATTATCATGATGACCGCAGATTCTAAGAGACAACTGTCTGAGACTGTCACATATGGCATGTATGTAATTGATTTTACATCTGTTAATTCCATAATTTTTATGTCTTACCTTCAAAAATACAGGCCGATGGGTCAAAATGAAGTGTGTTTTGTTTAGACTTTGACTTTTATGACTTTACTCTTCCCATGAGAAGAGGCAGCAGAAATGGAAAAGCTGATTATCTGTAGATAAAAAGCCTACTATCATTACACTGAAAATCATTTGACAGCAAGATGGCGACCAGACTTTCTGTTTAATGCTTTTCGTCTTATCAACCAACCTGTATGACACGAAAGAACCTCGAAAAACAAATATTTTAACCAGTGTCGTTCGATAGAGTAGACAAAATTGTTGTGCCTGACTGCCGCATCAAGGTACAGATACGGTCAGGAAGTTATTCATCAACCATAAATCAAGTGAAATCCGTTGAAAAGTTGACAAATACAGTCATTTTACTGTTAGTCTGTTTTTTGTGGTTCTCATAACATTAACATTACAAAAGACCCCCAAATGGTAGCTGAATGAAACCAATGGAATCAATGAACGCTTACCAATTTCTGCATAAGTTTTCTTATCATGCATCTGTTAAATACTGTAAATCTACGTAAGTTGTAGGAGCAGCACTATTGTATGGCAGATGTTTAGTAGATGTGAATATTGAGAAATGAACGTTTTGACCAATTTTCTCAGAAAAAGTACGATTTCACAAAGGTTAGTAGTTTTAAAATGACTGGAATAGCAAGAAGACTAATAGTCACAGTGTAAAATAATTAAAATACTTTCACCTGAAGATACTTACATTTAGAATGTGTATTACAAGATTTTTTTTGCAGGTTTTCCGTGCTAATTAGTTCATATGGTATTTGGAGAAAATGCAAATTTGTTGTGTTTATCACTATAATATCTTAACTGAACTGATTCGTCTAAGTTGAAGAAGTATTTTAAAACCCCTGTTTTAGTAATCAACATGTGCTCACTAGTAACTCACTTCGTGAAGGAATTCTTGGAGTTCTAGTGAGAAGCCGTGACCAGTGGAGCTAATCCGTGTCGGGTAGAGACAGGTATCTACCTCAGTACAATGAAAAATGGTCGCGCAATCAAATGGATTGGTTGAGGTTAGACATTATGACCATTGGATGCCGGCTCAGTGGTCTAGAGGGTTAAGCGTTAGTGCACAAGACTGAAGGCCCTGCGTTCGGGATCGTGGATGCACACTGCTGAGGAGTCCTACACTGGGACGAAATGGCCGTCCAGTGCTACCAGGTTTCTAAAGGTAGTCTAACATCAATGGGTTCATGATCTCAATCAAAAACTTAATAATCTCCACAACCCCTATACTAGTGTTTTCAAATGACTAAACATTTTGTTTTTTAGCCAAATTCAGGCAGCTACTTTTTAATGTTCTAAGTAGCTTGTGTGAAAAATAAATATTTAAAAACTTTTCAGTTATATTCATGACAGTTCTTAATTGTTGCACTTGTATTTAACATTTCAACTGGACTTCAATTTAAATGCATGATTGTTTACTGTGTGATGTATAACTTTACACTTGTATATTCTTCAAGTCTGATCAAATTCGATTGGTTTACTTGTAATGTTGTCACCGGTTTAAGAGTTCGACATTATTTCAAGTGGATGGGAGTAAACGGTAGGGAGCCCTGGATCTAAGATCTTGATTACTAAAGTATATCTACACATTCCATGGAAGTGATGCTGTCTTTGGGATCTAGACTTACATCAAATAATAGCACAGTCAGGAATGTTACGGTGGAATGAATACAATATTAATAATATTAAATTAGAGTTACCCAATAAAAGATATTTTGGCACATATGAAAAAAAAAGTTGAAATAATTGTCCGCGCATATAAAAACCATGGATGTTCATATTGGTTATGGAAATTCATAATCTGAATGAAGTAAAGATCCTAATGCTATTAGAATATCTTTATTAAAATATGTTTTGCCGATTTGGATCTTTTTTTCTTAGTGAACGTTGAATAAACAAAACGTCTTGATATCATCTTGATTAAATCTTGTTTAGCGCTTAATCATAAATAAAACTGTGCAAGGAAACATAGTTTAAACGCCTCAATAATAGGCTCCATATGACATTCTCTTTATGCATCCATTTATAGATGAACTTATGACATCAGATGAAAACAATTAAATTAGTTTGCTTGGTTATTTCAGTGAATAAATCACAATGATGATCTAACTCTGATCCTTTTTCCAAATAGACTTTTAATAAATGTATTTCAAGGAAGTTTGAAATTTGTAAAGATATGGTTGTTCAAACCAAAGTTGCATAAGTCTAAATAGCTTGATATTCCATTATTGAATCAATATTACCGCTGGAATTAACTTCTACTTGACATTTCTTTGTTTAATAATACCTTCAGCAGTTTAAAAGGCTTGAACGGGTTTTTACAACTGGTTCTCTCGTAATTATGTTCATGCTGTGGTACATGCTACTTATGTTAACAGACATAAGTGGTATGTAACATAAATAAAAAGTGGAATGCCTGTCAAGAGAAGGTTGAGAATATTGAATTGAGGAGGTCAGAATGAGAAACAGAAAGCGATTGTAATAATGACGAAATTGAAAGGATCATGAAGCATGTAAAAGGACAATTGGTGGATGTGTGAATCAGATATTTGATATATGGTTTTCAAATAATTTACAAAATCACTCTGTAGTTTTGCATTAAATAGTAAATTTGGTTAACTCCACCTTCTTGTTCGTCCGCTACAATTCCACTATTTTCAGTTCATAATAGCACTCTACACAATAACTATCTCAACAACAACACTTATTCCTCACAAAATTATAAATAATTCCTAAATTAATCCTTGTGCTTCGTTTAAGTGGTAAAAAGATTTTGTCACAATCCATAATACACATAGAATTTTTCTTAACTCAGACTTAGAGCGTTGCATGGTTGTCCAAAAATAAGTTATGATTCAAAACTGGCTAGTGATTCTCAAAAGTGGGCTGAACACTTGGCTTCAACAAACTGTATGCAGCATAGTAAAGCAGATGGATACGGTGAAAATTTAGCATTTCAAATGGCTACAGCCGGTGTATCACTGAATGGTAAGTTGAATACCTATATATATCTGAATATCTTTAAGATATTTGAATTATCTTATTAGAGAAGCTTACAGATTAGAATAATGTATTTGCTTTTGTATATTTGTATTTGGGATTGTTTAGAATAATGGCATAATGACTGTTTTCTACAAGTCCAAACACAAATATATCGTAAAATCTAGACTCAACACATAACTGAATATATTTGTGGTAATGTTAAAAATTTGTCAGGCATATATACTTGAGAACAGAGAAAAAAAATCCAAGGGATTGTATCTGTTGAGAAAACTTGTTATTATAACAGAAAAAATTTACACAATTAGTTCTGTTAATATATTTAAATAAAGCTAATTCAATAATTGGGGCACCTAGCCTGTCGTATGCCCTAATGGTGTTCATGTGACGTTCGCGTTGACTGACCTGCCAAGAGCGATAGGATAGTGCATGATGGTATTGTTGTGTGCTAGTTTCAAAGAGAATTGTATATTATATACATGCAAATCCGCCCCGTTATTGTTCTTATTCAACAATTGAGACGGACTAAAATGAATTAATTTTTATTTAGTGATGTCACTTCAGCTGCTTAAAACCGAATTTATATTGAAACATAGCATGATATGACACAATAGAGATTGCAAATTTTTAGAAAAATGAGATGACTATGGCTATCAGTATCTATATGTACCGTTATTTGAAGATGGAAATCGAAACACACACAGAGGGGGGGGGCGGAAGACGAGTCAATAGTTATCTTGGAAATGATATTCGATAGAGTGAATTATTGTTACATCTAGAAGCTTAGATTCTTAACACACCACGTATGACTTGAGCACTCGAACGCTAGAACCCTCCCAAGTCGCAAATGAGAAAGCGGAAGACGATTGGAGAAAGTGTGTATTGGGTAAGGATCAAAATGTACAGAAAATCATGGGTATTTATAGATATTAGGGCTTGCTAAATCAGCATTATAATTCAACCAATCTTCGAAGACGCATGCTATGCTACGTTGATATTCTAAAAAGCCCCATTACCTTCTGATTGGATGGGACTCTTTGGCTCTTCTAGAGCCTCTGGAGGCTCCGTCGTAGTTCTCGGAAGAAGGCCCAACAACTATATTACAATTCACGAATTCTCATAAGTCCGCAGAGCTAAACGAATTGAAATCATGAATGAATGAAAAGATAACTGGTGTAGATGCGTGGTAAGAATCGGCTCAGTGAAGAATACAGAACAGTTGCACCCAATAATAAAGAAATAATAATGTTAGTAATAATAATTAGTATAGTTGTAATTAGAATTATGAATTAATGAAGATAGTGATAAACTGATGACTGTCTCTTTTTGAAAGTATAAATCTGGTTTGGTGTCTTTTAATCATCATTGTTTCGGTAACTCATCAAGAAGATGCATTCGTTTTGTATGACGATGATTCTGAAAGATTGGAAGACGTCCCGTATTGATTAAATGCCAGGTAATGGGAATATTTAAAACTTTCACATCTTTTAATCTCAAATTCCTCGAAACATACTCGAATATATAAATATGTACACATCCCACTGTTCTTGCAATTTATGTGATTTGGCACGTAAATGTCGATCGGTTTCATATAACTAACCTTAGACAGGACCTAACAAGCTTCATGTACTCCGTTATAAGACATAAAATATCTCAAATCAACTAGTATATACTGGTACACTGTTACAGATTCATTTATTTAATTTAATTTATTTAATTACTCTTTTTCAAAATAACTATTATGATGAAGAGTAGTTCTCTTATAAATAGATGACTTTACTGTATTATTATGTACATAAAACCATATTTTTTAAATATTCCCCTTTGAAAGGCCGTGAAGTAACTCGAAATTGGTACGATGAAATTAAGCAACATGATTTCAATGGACAAAATCAACCTGGATCAGGTATAAGACAACCGAAAAAGAATAGTTCATTTTAAACTTGTTTTTATTTCTTGAATTCATTTGTTACCTTCAATTGTTGTTTACTTGCATCTTCCGATTGTTATTTAGGACTGCAATTGATGAGTCTCTTGTTGGCATATGTGCATGCTGTACGGACTGTCTCGATATTTCCGAAGTCACAAGCTTTATAACCAAATATGGACAGTGGCTGGCAGTTGAATCTAGGACGCATGTTTCGTCCTGTTTGGGACCCATCAGCTGGATGTATCTGCATCCGATTGGTGCCAAACAGGACAAAACGCGCGTCCTAGATTCCACTGCTAGCCATTATCCATCTTTGCTTTCATTTAATACTTGTTAAATTTTAGCTATTTATTCTATCAGATTATGAGTAACAGTAATTGTGAAATTCTTCAAATATCCAATAGTGTACAGTCAGTTTGTGATGCATCGCTTCCATTTGCCTGCCACACAATATCATAATAGTGAGATAAAGTTATCAATACAAATGTCAGGATAGTAGTAAAAATTATGTCAGTAGTATTTTAAGAAAAAAGATAAATAGTAGCTAGTAGTGAAATGCGCGTTTTGTCTTATTTGAGACCCATTGGCTGAATATACTTTGATTCAATCCCATTATCGTTAGCTTTTTCATCACCTTGTTCACTTGTTTATGTTACTGTAATCAAGTGAATTTTATCTGATTTATATTTGTTATTTGAATCTTCACACTGATTTTTAGTACTGGAAGTGATCAGTGTTTTACCATATGTACATCCTATGAGGATTGCTTTGCTATTGACTTTAATTCATAAGCATTTTTAGACATAGATGAATGGTGGTTAGTAGGAAAGGTTAGAGACAGACAGCATTATTCAAGAATCAAGAATGCATTCATCGAATAAAAGACACAATATAATTTTAAAAGCTAAGATTTAAGAGAAGACGAAGAATAAGAAGTTCCATGCTACTGTGACCGGATCATAGCTGTCTCTTCCATTATCTCAAACCTCTTGTTTCGTTATTCATGAAGTCTCCGACAACATGGTCTGTATCTACAATTTTATCAAATATTCACTGACGTTTGAATAATAAAATCTGAATATTATTAGGTTCACTTATGTGCAAACCCAAGTTATCTTGTCTATCTTGATTTCGTGAATAGAAGTCACAGTTTATTCACCGTAACGATTGAAGCTTTTTATTTGTAACCAGTTTCAACTACTTGATTTTCAAGAAAGATACTTTATTTCATCTAAAAACTCTTTAATTGTCAAACTCTACTGTCAAAGTATATACGAAGTTCTGATTAGTTATAAATATAAAAGAGAAGGACAAAATGTCAGCGAGTTTTCAGAAGTAATACAGAAGAGTTTGAGGTAATACGATCAAACTGAAAAGAAAATAATAGCTTGATGTTCGTTATAAGGTAACAGCTCTGTTCATGTTAATGGAAGGTCAATTTTCACTACTTAATAATGATAAGTAGCATAAAGTGCAACACAAAAGAAATCCCCAATTGTTTGCTATGAACTTTATTCATTGTGGTTCACTCTAACATACCAAACAAAAAACATATCATGAAAATTAGGGTTTGAGAATGATGCTTCGACATGTCAAACTTACCAAAAGAACAGCGACCAAGAATACTTGAATGAAAATGAAAATACTATGGTTCACCTGAACAAAAATATTGTTTGTAATTGATTAAAATGAATTTTCAATGTGTCACATAGTTTTCAACATGTAAATACTTATATGTTTAACTGAAAATGTATACAATTTCACTGGATACTCATGATTACTTATTTGGGCTTAGAGGTAACAAATTAAGATATCCATGAATATAAACGTCTATTTACAACAAAGTATTTCCAGTTTCTTGGTGAAATACAATTGAAACAAAGATATACTTCTACATGAAGTCTTTGCTGATGATGTCTTTCAGAAGAACGATGAAAGCTACAGGACTAAACCATCCAGATCAGAGAACAAAATTTCATCACAATCATTCACCTGACCTAAAAATCTTCTACACCATTTCAAAATCATATGAGCGCAGTACACTTCTCGTTGTTCAAAAGATGGGAGAATTTCGCTGAAACGCAAACCTTCATTTGAGAACAGTTCTATTTCCCTCATGAGAGTCTTCGTCAGCATGTTCTACCAATAAGTGTCGAGATATATGAATGTTTTATTTAGTAACATCCCATTCAAACTTCACGATGGTTTGGTATTCAATTAGATTTGTAGGGAATATAATAAGTAGTATATTACTAAAAATAGTTATCTCATGATTTGTATTATCTAAAAACAAAGTTTTATTTGCAAGTTGTTCAAGAAATAACGTACTTTGAAATAACTAGATAAACACAAGACTACATTAATATGTAAACAATAGAAAGGATATTAAAGGATAGCAACGATGATAGATAAGTGGTTAGTTAAATAAACACTACAGACTTAAAATATTTGAATCTTTCTTTATTTACATAATAAAGTACACTGAATTGAATATGTCAACAATCAGTTCTGATGATTTCAAATTCAGCTTTAGTTTAGTTTTATTCATTAATGTCAATGATTCATCTGACAACTGGATCTCAAACAACGATTTAATCACATTTAAATAATTTAAGCAATCTAGTTTCAACAGTAAAGATTGTTGTAGGTTTGTACCGATTTCCGAAGCATTCTCTTATTCATTTTTGAATGAACCGTACTTACTGACGATGATTAGTTACAAACAATGCTGGATAGTTGTGAATGGAAATAAAATGTATATTTAGTTCATGATGACATAATATGCTTCAACAACTGGTTTCCTCTTTAGTACAAATTTCCTCTCTATTATATTATTCAAATAGATTTTAGTCGGTAAAATGTCCATATATTGATTGATTTATAGATGGAATCGTTCCGGTCACATGTATGCAATGGTTAACTAGCGAGATTATAAGGACTCATAATGAGTGAATAATATTACTGTAATTAATTTATCTGCTTACAAGTTAATCCTTTTTTACAGACTTATTCCGATTGAAAATTTCTTTACGAACAAAGTGGTTTATGCTTGTAGCTATTCAACATTGTATACCCAACATTCTATGCTTGATTCATAAGCCTTTTAGCATTCTAGCATTTTGTTAATCAGTGGAAAGAAAAATGAAATATCTCAAAAACCACTAGTGCTGATTAATCTTCTATTGGGATTAAATAACCAACATTTTCATCAATTCATTGAGTAAACTTACTCTGTAGTACAAATCATAATCTCTACAAACATCTTATACCAATAACAGTAAATGATTGATTCGATAACCTTCACTAGTATCCTTCATTAAGTTTCAGTGATTATATGTAGCCTGATAGATAAACGAGTAAGAAATTAGATAATGAATAAATACAGATTGTATTGTGGTGCGTGCAACTCATTTCCACGGATATAAGTAGTATGTAACACTAATCGAAAATGGAATGCCTGGCAGCAGAAAGTTGAGAAGATCGAATAGAAGAGAACAGGAACACAGAGTGATTGACATGAAAGTGAAGGGGAGAAAAAGTCTGAGACAGGTGATGGATATTTTGCATTTGAAGTAATGAACGTATGGTATTCACATTTTACCATAAAACTCGGTGATTGTGCATCCGAATACACATAGTTGTCACCACTTGCGTTCTCGTTCACTACAGTATGACTACAAATGTCATCAAAAAAGGGGATTATAAAGTATTTTCAATGTTAAGTTATTCTTATTTTTTTATCTGACATCAGGACATTTTACTCAAGTAATTTGGAAGTCAACTAATAAAGCAGGATTCGGTTCTGCATTCTCCAAAGATGGAAAGAAAGTGTACCTAGTGGGACGTTATAAACCATCCGGAAATATAACTGGTTATTATGCAGATAATGTACCGAAACCAAAGAAAGAGCCTCCACCAAGTAAGCAGAAATAATGACAATAATTTATATCGATTAGTGAAATTACTTATTAATTTATAATACACGAGTTGTTACAAAATATGTGTGTTAGTTTCCCATGATAGTGAATAAACATCAGTAAGACCAGGGAGTTGTTTAACCTGGAGGTGTGCTGGTGAATCATAAACTAATTTTCTATTTTAATCCTTATCTACACAAAGGGAAAATTTGTTAACAGTTACTGTCAAAAATTAATTGACTCCTTGATAAATTACTGATCTCTACAATGTAAAATGTCTCACCCTATTTAAATCTTATTCACTTACAACTCCATTAAACCTGTGTTTAAGATAATTCTTAATTTACGTTGCTGAGTAAAGAGGATAGATTCCTGATCACTATAGTGTTAGTCAAGATGTATAGGACATGAGACAACTTTAAACGTGTTTTTGAACCTAATAATCATTTTTCTACAAACCAGTGAAACTGAATAAGATGTTTCTAGTTGCTATGATAAGATCACCAGGCGAGAATTCAATAGTAGCATTCTGTCATTTACCTTGAAGAAGATAATAGAAAACAAGTGATTTGGATTTACAAGGGTCGTATTTAAATCGTCATCAATAAGCAAAACAGGCTTTATTAACTTAAAGTTTATGAAAATAGAAGGCATACATAATAGGATGGGGCAAATGATATATTTTAGGAACTTAATTGAAGATAATGTAATAGGTAACAGATGTCCCGTGAAGTTTCCCACAAATATCATCTGTCAATCGCTCCGTCATTAAATGATCTATTGCTTGATTCAGCTAGTAACATGATATTGGAATTCATAATCTATCTGGTAAGAAGGATGACAAATTTCATGGGATGATCTGTTTTGTTGAATAATCAGTACTAATGAGTTTAATAGCCGGACTTAATTCTCAAATCAGTGAATCATCCGTTAATTCAATAAATTCATCTTAGCATCAACACATGTACTTACTCATCACAACTTTGAAGGATAATTTCACTTGGAAGAATTCTGTCTTGTTGAAACATGATGACATTAATATTCATATATCAATCAATTCCAGAGATGAATCACACCATCTTGTAAACTATAGAAACTCAACGTAACCTAAATTTCAACTAGCTTACCCATCAGTTAAGATCTTGACGCTTATAAAAGTTATCTAGTCTATATTAAGGTCAAAACATACTATTTTAGTTTTTACAATAAGTAAGAGATTTCTGTATGGAAAAAGTCAGAACTAAATGTTGGACTTATTATTATTATTAATGGCTTTATTCAATATTATATTTTGGTACAACATAGAATATCACTGCTTAATTCACACACTCCTCATTAACTTAAAGTATTTTGAGTATATCCTATAATAAATTAAACTGATATTTTCTGTTAGACCTATAAAAGTACCTTATTGTTTGCTTATCATACTGAGTGATAATAATGTTAATTTGATTATGATTGATTATCTTACCTGGTTGGTAGAATGGATAAATCAGAGGAAACGTCCTACTTTAGACAATTTCTTAGAAGGAAGTACGAAGGGATCCATTGGCAAATTATATGAGATAGTAAACAATGTCCGTATAATCTACTGTGAATAATATAGAATTCATGAGTTAATAAAAGCCATACCACCGTCGACAACCTGGAAGCACTGGACAGCCGTTTCGTCCTAGTATGAAACTCCTCAGTAGTGTGCATCTACGATCCCACATGTGAGGCTCGAACCCGGGATCTTCGGTCGCACACGCTAACGCTTAACCCCTAGACCACTGAATAAATGATACTTTGGTAATCAAAAGTGTTTATATATTTGAATAGCAAAAACAATCTTTAAGATCAGTATGATATTACTCACAGATTACTTCGTTAATTTCTTAAATAATTTTTTGAAAACCGTTTTAATCACTCTAAGGAATATCGTAAAAGTAATCTAAATGAGTGATCCCAGTCAATGTTTTCTTTTAAAAATCTGACCTAAGATACATCATACTTCTTTATTCCCATAATGTTCTGTCCTTACATTGTTTGTTATTTTAAAAAAATGCTGTTAGAACTTAGTTGTTTGAGTAGGCAAATAACTCACCTTTATATGAGTTAGATAACTATGGTTTATAAAAGTTGTAAAATAAAGCGTACGTAGTTTTAAATATTGTATAGTGAAAGACTATGTATAAAATTCAATCACATATAGTTTTCTTCCTTAGTTCAATAAACTTGTGTAAATTCGTTACTTGTACAGATAATACCCTGAAATAATGAAGCGATATTAAAGCACTTCCCACCCCCACATAATGAATGTCTATACATATATCAGACATAAGTGTCTTAAAGTGTGGTTGAAATTTTAGTAACCAACATATTAGCTTTGTTGTTCACCGATATGTTATTGTCATCATAAATATCAGTGTAATAATTGCTTTGATTAATGATTTTCAGAAGTTTCATATGCGTTAGCGACATTTTGTTTATTTTTACCGTTGATGAGGAAAAACTACTGAGATTGATTATTCGCTAAATGATAATAAAGAGATGCTTCTTTTCCAAGAAGAGAAATTGATAGTGTAAGATAACTTCATTCATAATCGTATGATCAACATTTTACATTAAGTATGCAAGTACGTTTCGAAGTTTGAGTAAATGTTGATAAAAAAAAAATCATTTTGATGAATGTTTGGCGTTTCTAGAGTAGTGATTATGAGTTAAATATTGCTTGTTAATTTTCATAACTTAGTGAGTGAAATGAAATGGTTTTAATTTATGAGTAGTAATCTCCGTACCAGGAATACAATGAACACTGTGAATGCAACTAAACGATTTGAACTTCTCAGATGTCCTAACCCTTCGATCCCACACACACGAAAGAATGAAGGTCAAGACAACCACTGTAGCGAAAGCCTCTACATTAGTAGGCTTCAATATACACCAAGGAAAAGATAACAACAAAAATACAACACAGAGAACGCCGAGCCAATCAAACTTGATAGGAAAACTCTGGAACAGATGGAAACGTTCACGTACCTGGTTAGCATCATCGATGAACGTGAAGGATCTGATACGGATGTAAAGACAAGAATTGGAAAAGCAAGGGCTGCATTCCTACAGTTGGAGAACAAATGGAACTCAAAACAACTGTTAACCAACATGAAAGTTGGAATTTATAATACGAACGTCAAGACAGTACTGTATGGAGTTGAAACATGGAAAACTACTACAACCATCATCAAAAAGGTACAAGTATTTACAAACAATTGTCTACTCAAGATACTCAATATCTGTTGACCGGATACAATCAGCAACAGTCTACTGTGGAAGGGAACAAACCAACTTTCAGTTGAATAAAAAAATTAGAAAAAGACGATGGAGGTGGATACGACGTACATTACGGAAATCACCAAACTGCATCACGAAGCAAGCACTTACGTGAAATCCTGAAGGGAAACGAAAAAGAGGAAAACCAAAAAACATACTGCGTCGAGAAGTGTAATCAAACATGAAAAGAACGAATGACAACTGGATACAAGTGTAAAGGATTGTCCAGAACAAAGTCGGATAGAAAATGCTAGTAGTCGGCCTATGCTCTTCTATGAAGAGCAACAGATGTAAACAAGCAAACATTCAACGTTTAGATGGTGGTTGGAGGTAGTTAACAGGGAACCCTGGACCCGGGTTTCGTGCTACTTGGCACTCGTCAGCAAGGTGTACCTGTAATCTTGAGGGAACTAGTGCTCCCTGGCGGATTCGATCTCGTGTCACCCAGCTTCACAGTCAGAGACGTTACCACTGAGCTATCCGAGCCGTGACAAACCTCCTGTAGGACTTTAAACATTAAACGTCCATGACACTATGTAATTGTTATTGTTAGGAAAATACAATATGATTAACTATCCATTTCGATTTTTTATACATAAAATTGTTCACAGTATTCAATGATCATAAGTGGGAATTGATACGGAGCAAATATTTATTATTCCCAGTAACAAAACACAAATATATAACTTGTTATTTTAAAAGTTTACATACTAGAACGTAGATAATTGTGTATTTATATATTAAATTAACATATAAAAGTATTATTATTATTATTATTATTATTATTATTATTATTATTTGCAGGAGATGAATTTATCAAAATACCAGAAAGTAAATGTTCAATATTGTAATTTGTATCTGGATTGGATCAATTATTAAATACACGTTAATAATAGAATGGATCACGATCAAAAAATATGACTACTTATTTAAAACAAAATAATATACATATATATGTATAAAAGTATTTGTGATGAATTGACTTTATTTCACAATTAATGAAAATTTATAATATAAAGAAATGAATACATGATAGATCTGTTTGTTGAATGAATTCCTTTATACATTTTATTAAAAGTTTATTTTGTCATGATTTAGATTTGTTTGGTTTTCATTTAACTGATGGGTATTATTTTGACATTATATTATTAAAGATTTCAAAAAGTAATCTATTGAATTGTTTTAATAATGATAAATTATTGATGAGTCTCATATAGGACAAAATGCACTTTTTTAAAATTTTGATTGAGGTCATGAATCGATTGATGTTAGACTACTATTGAAGACCTGGAAGCACTGGATAGACGTTTCGTCCTATTGTGGGACTCCTCAGCAGTGCGAATCATCATTATGATTTTAATCAAAACTTAACAATCTCCACAACCCCTATACTGATAATTACCATGTGCTCACTAGTGACTAGCTTCATGAGAAAATTCTCGGAGTTCTGGTGAGAAGCCGTGACGAATCGAGCTAATCCATGTCGGGTAGAAAAAGGTGTCTACCTCAGTACAATGGAAGATGGTTGCGCGATTTCCCCGATTGGTTGAGGTTAGACATAAACACCGTATGATGCCGGCTCAGTGGTTTAATAGGCTAAGCGTTAGCGCGCAAGGCCGAAGGCCCTGGGTTCGAATCCCGTGAGAGGGATCGCGGACGCGCACTGCTGAGGAGTCCCACAATGGAACGAAACGGCCGTCCATTGTTTCCAGGTTTTCAATGGTGGTCTAATATCAATTGGTTCATGATCTCAATCAAAACTTAACAATCTTTACAACCCTTATACTTACTTTTTTAATACATCAATTGCATAAAGATCACGTTTCATTTATAATGATTTTGATTGTTAATACTTACAAAATTACAAAAATGGGGATTTGTGCAGATTGTAGTAGTTTAAGTAGTTAAATTCATGAGTCAACATAAGCTAGACCACCATCGACAACCCGAAAGCAATAAACGACCGTTTTTCATCCTAGTAGGAGACTCTTCAGAATTGCACACCCATGACCACTTATACGAGACTCAAATCAATGATCTTCAGTCCCACATATGAGCGCTTAACCTCTACTCCACTGAGCCGGCATCAAACGGTGTTAATGTCGAATTGATGAAATAAGAAAAAGGATAGAATCCATTATTTTTGACTCTCTGATATTCATTATTAAGTAGAATATACAACTCGAAGTAGACTTATTTCTAAATGTTTACGATAAGTGTCAAGCCATACTGTTCCCTATTACTTCTTCTTGAACTATTGTGAAAGGATTATACTGTGTTGCGTAAAACAATCAAGTGTATTTGCTGAGTGGATTTTGAAAAACTATCATGAATATGGTTGTGCATAGACATCTGAAATTTCGTAACCAACTGGAGTGTGTTATTTTATTAAATACAGACTATCTATTCCACTCACTTCTATCGCTTTATACATCGTGTGACAAAAGGTAACACAAGTACAATAGAATTCATGGATACGAAAATATTTCCAGATACTTTACAATATATCGTATTTAACATATAAACCATACTGCTGAAATATTGAACGCGTTGCTCTACTCAGAATTCTATCTACTTGAACATCTAATTTATTAAGTGTTGTAAGGATGTTTTACTTTTATATAAATTTCATTTACTTTTACACAATTTCATTGACTTATTTTTCATATATATAGACAGGAAACGCTGGACGTAGGTTTCGTTCAGTTTGGCACTTGTGAGAAAGGTGTATTTGCAATCTTGAGTGACCTGAAGCTCTGTGATAGATATGATTTCATGTAACTCAGCTTCAGAGTAGCACATTACTGACGAGTGCCAAACAACATGAAAGCTATGTCGAGTGTTTTCTGTCTACTACCTCTAATCAACACCTTACATGTGTTGAGGTTGCTTGTGTGAAACTGTTTTGTTGTTTGTTACTATAAACACACATGCATTAACTAGTCATCGCATGAACACAGGACATAAGTTTGATATCTTAAAATATTTTAAGGGGCATTAATAAACAGTCAGGTTCCAATCTTTTGACGTTTCCTGACTCCATCTCTCGTAGGTGTTCTTTCAGGTTAGATGTATATTTACAATATTCTATTTTTAAAAATAAAATTTATTTACACTCCAACTATACTATACTGATGTGTGACCGCATCAATTTTTCCAATGAAACTTGTTCATGTAATTAATTTCAAACTGTTTTGTAACTATAACTTTTGAATATTATCGGTTGTAAGCTGCTGACGCAAATCAAACAGTGCTTCCAAGTTATCAATGGTGATCTAACTTAGATCGACTCGTGATTTCAACTTTGAAAATACTACAATCTCCACATATCCCCATACTGAATATAATCACGTGCCTGCTAATGACTCACTTCAAGATGGAATTGCTGGTGTTCTAGTGAGATGCTCTGATCATTGGAGTCCAATTCGTGTCGTGTGGATACAATTATCCACCTCAGACAATAGATGAAGTGTCGCGCAAGATTACGGATTGATTAAAGTCAGACATCAACACCATTGGATGCTAGCCCACTGGTCTAGATGTTAGGTGTTTACGAATTATTTCAGGGTTCGAGTCCCGTGTTATGGATTATAGGTCAAAACAACGTTTATTTGTTTATTGATTTTAACACATAGACATTGGTACAAGGAGGCACCAAATATATATGCGCCACACAGATTTCATTTGATATGTGTGAGGGCTGTGATACTCCCCAGGTGCCCAAACCGACGCAGGTGGTTTTCTTAGGTGACCTTACCCGGAGCCTTTGACCTGAAGATCTGATCCACAAGGCAGTGGAGCAACGTAAGGAGATGCATTCCCATGGTAGCCGGTGACAAACGATTGGTTCATACGCCATTTGTTCCTTCAGGATACTGGAGCCTATATGCACCATTGGTTTGGAATCAGGGTTTTACAACTCCCCTGGGTGGACTCTTCATGTCCACCAACCCGTGTAAAGCACCGGACATTCGCTTTTCCTACACTCAATTTCGTAAACAACACCTCCGCCAGGAGAAGGCAGTGAGTAGGACTTACCTGACAGAGGCTATATACGCGTGACCATGTGAGAGCATTTCGAGAGGTAGAGCGAACTCTCCCAACTCTCGGCCGTACCAGGGCATTTGGGGGCGACTGAATAGTCTCATACTAAGGCTGAATAGTTATTCAATGCTTCTAGGTTTCCAATGGTAATCTTGGTTAGATCGATTCATGACTTCAACTATTATTAGAAAATTGTTGAGTTTTTTTTACCACCCCATGTAATTTACAATTAGTGTATGTTTATTTGCTTAAACGAATATTATTTCCGTCATATTAATAATAATCTAATGACTTCATGATTATAGACACATAAACATCATACCAATGTAGTTTCTTTTAGTTAGAAAATATTATAATGAGTTTTAACTAAATAACATGGATAATGTTTATTTATTTTTATTAGTTCATTATTTATATTAGGATGGTCAATGTAAGAACAACTTATTATATTGTTTAGTATTCATACTTTATCAATATGAGTAGTACAACTACATTTGATTATGTTGAAGTATTGGTAAAACAGATTGAATGGTATTTTTGACTAAATTTAAAATTTTCATAGTTTCAATAATGAAGCGACCTTAACTAGTTCACTATTGGAAACCTAGAAATACTTGATGACCGATTTGTTATGGTATGGGTATGCTTATGAGTGAACATTTATGACTGCAAACGGGAATCGAACTTAGGACGTTTGATATAATTCGGGAATATTTGACCTCTATACCATTGAGCTAGCATTCAACTATAAGACCAAAGGCGTTAGGTTGAATTTCTGCCTATGGGTTTGTGAATACGACTTAATGAGGTGTTCCATACAAGAATGGAATTGTTGTTCATTGCCTTCTGGTCTTTAATGGTGGTCTAGCTAAGATCATTTCGTGGTTTAAACCGAGAAAATTCTACAAACCTGACAAACCTCTTATACTAACATTTATAATTATTATAACCCGTATATTTGTATACGACATAGATATTAAGAAGATAAGTATTATATAAGTATGAAAAAATCATAGTGAAAACAGATGTTTCGGGAATTCATTCGGTGTTGTTTGTTTGTATCTTCACATTGTTGTTTAGGACTGCAATTGATCAGTCTCTTGTTGGAATATATGTAGGAGAATTTGTATTTTCTTTTCATTCAATATTCAGTGAACAAATAAAGACGAGAGTGAATGTCAACGACTAAGTTTCTATCAACTATATTCCAGACGGTGTATTTGGATTGTTAGGATTCGCTCATATATGCGGTGTTGCGATCGTTGTCGCTTATATTGTATACAAATAAATTATGCTGAGTAGAGATCTGTTAAAGCTAATTTATTGATTGTTACTATTTAATACAATATTACCTCTGATTTGTTTTTCATCATCCTGAGATCCCCTATGCATTCAGAAACATATTTGAATAGTTGATTATGCTTTTTTCACTCTCACATCTAGTTGTCTGAATGTTTTCCTCAAATATACTTCATTACACTCATCAAATTTATTTTTACGGGGACTATTTCGTTATTTTTTCATCGTTATCATTTCCTTTAGTGTTAGTAATGCGGACTAGATGACTGGAGCAAAACATTCAAATTGTTCAAATTCTAGTCATTGAGATTATTTCTAAGTGAAGTTTTTTATCGAATAACTTCGACATACGTAATGCTCAATTTCTATCCAAACTTCCTTTCAAATTTTGACGAATGTTCACATAAAATTGTTAGGAAGCTTTTCTGAGACAGTAAATAGATCTCTATAGTAGAGTCATGCATTTTAATGAGTGACGTAAATATTGGTCGGATGATCAAAGGCTATAACCTTGAGACTTTTTGCGTTGATGAAACTCACAGACGTTTATATTTTCTAGTGTGTTGCAACTGACAACTCACCATCCGGATTTTTAATAATAGCGAGGAGTTTAGAATATCATTTCAGCATGCATCATTAGTAAAGTATGAAAGATTCTAATTTCCGACAGAATTCATTGATGCTTTGAATAAAAAGAGAACAACCATGTTTCCTTGAAGTTGGGGTTACTAAGAAGTGACCTCCCTTTGAGTATTTATTGGATAAAGTATTATTAACATCCAAAAGTTTCTTAATGTAGCAAGCTGTAATTGCCTTCAAACTACTAATCTGCAGTTTTTATGAGGGAATCAACTGGCTCGTTTCAATAAATTAGCCGAAAATTTGTTCATTCATATGTATACTCTAGCACATAAATAGTTTATGCAAAAAATTTCATACACTTGAGTATTAACACAACAATTGAGACATAGCTATTCATATATCTCTTACATAGATAACAAATAACGAGATTAATAATGTACCAGTATGGTGTATGCTACTTAAGTTGACAGACATTAGTAGTATGTAACACCAGTCTGAAGTGGGAAACCTGGCAGTAGAAGGCTATGAAAGTTGAATTAAAGAAAATAGAAATAAAATTAGAAAGGAATTATGAATTTGGAAAATCACATAGAATGTGAAAGGCAAGTGATGAAAATTTACAAATGAAGCATTTAATGTATCATTCTTGTATTTTACGAAGACACTGTAATTTCGTATTAAAATACATTCGGTCGTTCTCATCCGAGTTTTCATCCATTTACATTGTAAAGTTTTACTAAGTTTAAAGACAACTGACATCACTAAGAGTAGTAGTTCAGTGAACACGAACACGAGTAGCGACAATTGAATGTATTTGACACAAAATTACAGGACTTGTTAATAAAATCTAACAATCATATAGTAAATGTTTAATTTGTTAAATTTTTCTTACACTTTCATACAAATTACATTCTGTTCCCATTCTTTACTGTCTATCTGCTGCCAGACATTCTGTCCACGACTAAAGTCATATACTACTTATGTCGATATAAGTAGCACACACCACAGTAGTAGTAGTGTAGAAGTAGTAAAGTTAATTATATCATTATACCATATTGAATAATTAGGAAATATGTTAAAAGATGCTTATTCAAATTATATATTCAATTATGGATTTGTGTTATCAAATTGATTATGATTTGTTGAACTACTATTACGTCTATCAACATACTATCTCAATTATTTCTAAGTTATCATTGATTAACATAGTGCCTTACTTAGTTTAACAGTTTGCTTATATATATATATATATATATCACTGTATATTGGAGTGAACTCCTCCGAAGTTCAAATTGATAAACAGTATTGTTTTTATATGTTTGCTATTCTAATTTACATGATAGAAATTACCAATCAATCTGAATGATACATTTAAATGGTTAGTTAGAATTGAATTCAATCAACCTATAAAAATATTGTAAAGTATTAGATTGACTAATTTAATTAGATTATAAATTGCCAATTATAATAACATGTCACTCATTAATGTTTGAAATATTCTCATATTGTAAATTTAGAACAACATATATAAGCGAACAATATTGTTTTCGATTAGATCCTCATCAGGCTTTACTCTAATATACAGTAATATTTATATGCATATACGAAATTATTAAACCAATCAAGGTAGTTTATAAGTCAATGATAACAATGGAAAAGATTACATAATAAGTAAACTGTGAAAAGTACAAATTGATGGTACGACAACAGGTGCATTAGTTTTGATAAGCAATAATAATAAAGGTTCAAATCAATGTTACATAATCTGAAATAGGTCAATGATTAGAAAAATATAGAAACTTCGATAACAATTATAAAATTATAAGATGACGTAATAAGAAATGCTCAGATAATTGGACCATGAAACGTATAGTAGTGACCCTGACGGCTAAGAAGAAACCGCTTTTCTTGAAACTGCAATTCAATGGTGATTTGGCTAGCGATGTATTACGAGATAGATTGACTAGATCAGTAAAGAGAACGTTTAATGCTGCCAACCTCTGCCTATCGTATTCGACCCGATCGATGGTGATTCCGCAATTGAAGGATAAGTTACCTGGTTATGCCACTTCTATGTGTATCTACGAATTCAGCTGCTCCTGTGGAGAAAGCTATATTGGGCGCACTACCAGGCAACTGAACCAACGAGTTAGTGAACACCTCCCATCGTGGTTAGGAAAAGGTTACGTCAAAACAATACGCAGCTCGGTTCTATCACACTTGATCGATAGCGGTCATATAGTAGACAGAAACAAGTCGTTCAAAGTTATTTATCGGATTCCCACTAGTTTTCCTTATGGTGTTCGATCTCGTCTCTTACACATAGCAGAAGCTATAGGAATCCGAACCAACAAGCCAAGTCTTTGTGTTCAGAAGAAATTTGTAACTCCCTTATCTCTCCCTTGGCCTTAATTAATAAATGAATTTATTTATTTATTCCTTTTCTAACTTTCTCGTCGTTTATTATTTTTCTTCACACCCTCCTACCACTTTATTTTCTCTCAACTATACGTTTCATGGTCCAATTATCTGAACATTTCTTATTACGTCATCTTATAATTTTATAATTGTTATCGCAGTTTCTATATTTTTCTAATCATTGACCTATTTCCGATTATGTAACATTGATTTGAACCTTTATTATTATTGCTTATCAAAATTAATGCACCTGTTGTCACACCATCAATTTGTACTTCTCACATTTTACTTACTTTTACTTACTTACTACCTTGATTAGTTTAATAATTTCGTATATGCATATAAATATTACTGTATATTAGAGTAAAGCCTGATGAGGATCTAATCGAAAACAATATTGTTCGCTTATATATGTTGTTCTAAACTCATTAATTTATCATTAATGACAATTGTCCAAGAAGATAAAATACAAAAACAACAACAAAAAAAGGAGAGAACTACATCAGAGATATTACTTGTTCACCGATTCTTTCGTTTGAAAACAAAAGAATAAGAAGAATCTTATTTTTATAATACAAAATATGTTTACTATGTAATATACAATTGATTGGAAGATATACAATCAAATAAGTACGACATATTTGTATTCTCGAAATGTTCAACTATCCACTCAATAATTAGTTGTATTGTTGTTGTTGTTTTGTTTCTTTTTTAATATAATTGACATGTGCATATACATATGTATGCATATAAATATAAGATTGAGTAATTCTATTGTTTATTCAATAAAGTGATTATCATTTTAACTTATTTGTAAAATATAGAATGATGAATGAACAATTGAATGAAGATGCATTGAATGAACATAATCGGTAAGATGGGTATTTTTTGTTGTTCAAATTTAACTATTTATTATTATCAGAATGGGTTTTGTGGAGATTTTTTTTTAGAAATTTCACTGGATGAAATCATGAGTCATTTGAAGCTAGACCACCATGAAAAACCTGGAAGCGCTGGACGGCCGTTTCGTCCTAGTATGGGACTCCTCAGCAGTGTGTATCCACGATCCCGCACCCCGCAGGATTTGAACCCAGGACCTATCAGTCTTGCGCCAATGGTGTACGGTGGCGCAACTCTGTGGATTGGTTGAAGTTAAACATTAACACCATTAGATGCTGACTTGGTGGTTCAGTTGGTCAAGCACCTGGCGCGAGACCGGTAGGTCCTGGGTTTTGATCACGTTGGACGGGGTCGTGGATACGCACTGCTGAGGAGTCTCACAATAGGACTAAACAGCCTTCCAGTGCTTCCAGGTTTTAATTGGTGGTCTAGCTTCAATTGACTCATGATTTCAACCAGTGAAATTAACTATTTATATTATTGTATTACCTTACTATAAAGTATAGTTAATTAACTTAGTTTATTTATATAAAAAAGGGATTGAGGATAGGTTAGGTAGTACAGATCAAAAGTCTTATACCTAAAAGAAACATTCATGATGTACTTCTTAATGTGTGTTTTTTGTTTGTTTTGTTTTCAGTTGTCTAGTTATAATTAGTGCGTTATGTAAACTGTTTTGAGTCTGTTTAGTCTGTGTAGTTTCATGTTATGTATAGTTGACTGAAAGTGTATATCTTTAATTGGATTTGTATATATGGATAATGTTCAACTTATGTTTTGACCAAGAGACTTTACTAATAAATACTAAATCTGGTGGAGCTTTGTTCTCTGAGCTGGATGGTTTGGTCGTGGAGCTTTCATCGTTCTTCTGAACGACATTCATCATCAGCACAAACTTCAGATAGAAGGGAAGTGTTCGAATTTCTCCATATGTTTCACAGCTTGTTCTGTGCACCTCGATGTTGATTGGCTTTCATTGACCTTAAATTTGTCAGTGTTTGCTTCTTTGTTTTGGTTGTGTCTCCCATTGGTTTGATTTTTTTCCTATATTTGTGGATGATTTTTCTGATTGATTGGTAAATTGGATTGATTTCAATATGCTTGTAGATTTCTGATTGATCCAGCTCAAAGAACAAAACTTCACAAAAATCATCCAGCTGAGCTACAAATCTTCTCCACCATCTCAAAATATTGATTCAAACGACAATTCCTTTCACAGAATATATATACATATATACATGAGTAGGATGAAATGCAAATCAAGTATTCCATTGTTAGTCTCATTGTAAATTCATTAAACTGTTTGTAGATAGTTTAGAACGAAAGACCAAATACTTAATAGCTCTTAAGGAAAAGTAATTTTTTCTATAATTTTTTGGGTTTTGAAATTAAAAATGATCTCATTGATGAAAATAATAAAGTCTTCATGACAGATATAATATCGTCGTAGCATTCTAATGAATACAAAAATGAATTCATGGTTTTTAATTCTCGTAGTCATAGTAAAACTTACAGGAGCTATCATCAAATCAATAGAAATTTATTTTCAAAGTAGGAATTTGTGAAGATTGTAGCATTTTAACAGTTGAATCCATGAATCGATTTAAGTAAGACCACCAGTGAAAACTTGAAAGCAATTGATAGCCGTATCCAGTACGGGATTCTTCAGTAGTGAATGTCCACAATCCCGCACTAATGATCACTTCTGAGATTGATTTTGAGGATTTATGGAGATGTATTTATATGAAGAGTAACTCATACTGATAGTCAGATAATTATCATTGGTGGAATTGATAGATTGTAATTCTATGTCACTAATTAAATGAAATCTAATCAATCAAACATCGAATTAGAACTGTGAAGTTCAACGATGTTAAACTAAGCACAAAACTTAAATATTCGGATTTTAATCTCATGTAAGAATATCAATTTGAAAAGCTGAGGATTCAAAGGGTAGGAAGAAATCGCTGCTCAGTAATCCTAAATTAGATGATCAGAAACACATTTATACTATAAAATACTGTACCAATCATCTATAACACAACTGTTCATTATATCCTAAGTAAAATATTCTTTTATGTTTCTCTTTAATTTGTTATTATCTGACAACATTGTCTAGTGAAATTATTTAGTTTTCCCATACTGCTTTAACGTATAATTCTGTTTAACTAATTTACATACATGACGATCATGAATCACGTTGACCAAAATGACATGACATTGATTTGTTCACCTCTGTTTGTTTTGCTTTTATTGATCGCACATAATATATTCCTGTGTTGTTCCTATGTACTACTTAAACTTGGATTAAATTTATTTGGTTATTTATTCTCTGAAAAAGTGGCTTACACTAAGTTACGAAACACTAGATCTTATTTTTCTACTTATTGAGATAATACAAATATATTAATTTATTTATATCCCACATTAAAATCCTGAGTCAATTGAACCTAGAACACCATGGAAAGCCTGGAAGCACTGGATGGCTGTTTCGTCCTAGTATGGGCTCCTCAGCAGTGCGCACCCACGATCCCGCATCCCGTGAGGTTCGAACTCAGGACTTATTAGCCTCGCGCTTAACCATCAGACCACTTAGTTGGCATCCAACGGTGTTAATATCTAACTTCGACCAATCCATGAAGTTGCCACACCGTATACTATTGTCTTCGGTGAGCTGATATCTACAACAGACCTGATTGAACTCCACTTGTAACGGCTTCTCACTAGGACTCCAGGAGTATCTCGCGGGATGCGGGGTCGTTGATGCGCACTGTCGAGGAGTCCCACAATAAGACGAAACGGCCGTCCAGTGCTTTCAGGGTTTCCATGGTGGTCTAGCTTCAATTGACTCATGATTTCAATCTGTGAAATTTTTAAAATCTCCACAAACCCCTTTTGATTATTTATATCTGTTTAACTGCTGTTCAAAGATTAACGGAATAAGATAAAGAGAATCATTTCCTTGTATTTCCTTTTAATATATTTAGTGTCTTTTGTGTGGATTTTCATAATTTCCAATACATCAAGCAAATTAAATATCAGGTTACAATTTATTTTAAAATAAACTGATATCAGAAAAACAAGGAAAAAGTTGACACTCATGAACTACAAAATTCCAAGTGTAATTAGCCGTTGTAAATTTTGGAGTTGATCATAGTTTAATTGTATTACTCATAATAACAGTAGTAGATTGATTATTTCATATCTTGAATGCTGTTAGAGGTATGAGGGTGGTTATCACTTCCCGGTCACCCACACATTGGAAGGGTTCTTCTGGAGGTACGTGAAAAGGAAATTGGATTAGAGGTGCTCTTAGTGACCTGAGAGCGTTACCGCAGTGCCCATGGGACAACCGCTTGAGGTCGGTCACGCACGACTTTTTATGAGTAATTTTTGTGTTAGCTCCGTACTTGTTGAGATCTTACTTTCGGAGACGGATATCCGTGGGATAAGGCAAGGTGTGCATTTTCAGGGTCGACCTTTTCTAACCCCACCCCTCCTTGTGGGAAGGCAACATCGCTGTCATGCTGGTTGTCTGAAGGAAACACCTTACTGCTGTCACACCTTTGTACAGTCAGCAGTACGACTTCGCCTTCGGACCTTGGGTTTGTTGCTTTCAGTCTTACCACTCTTCAACCGACCTGTCTGACATGGTTGGACCTTGAGGAACGGTTGTTCCATCCAGTTTAGCTCGGTTGCTTCATCACGATAAGCAAGCCTGACTACCAAGTCAAGATGGCAACAACGGTCGGATATAATTGTATTTTATTACGCATAATGTAATACGATAATATAATAACAAAAATGAGTTAAATGTTCCACAGTTTTAGATTGTCTACTCTATCTCTCTTTCTCTCTTTGTTTTTTCATTGAGAACCTTTCATTGATTTTTTTTCTTTAATGTAACATGATAGAATTCAATTTTATATGATTCTGTGCATAATTCATATAAAATAACTAACAAAGTGTTTTTTACATATGAAAATGTATGTATCATATTAAATGAATTGAATTTCTTGTAACATTCTGTTAAATGGAATAAACTAAACTTTCAAAGTTAAAGTATTTTATTGATTTCGAGTCATTATTTAATGAAAATTTCGTTGTTTGAGTAACAAATTGATTAGTTAACAGATAGGTTAAGTATCCATGAATTTGTAGTGTATACCTTCTCAATGTTCAGTTTGTGTGGATAGTAAGCATTCCTGGGTATTTTTTTCTCGTTTAATTAATGAGTGAGAGCCGCATATAAAAGTATAAGTTTCACTGTGAATTTCATCTTAAGCTCTAATTTTTCCTTTCATTTGGTGTTTTCATTTGGTAGGTTGGTAGTGTTCAGTGTGTTCATGGAAGAAACATATAAATAGCTTTAGATAATTGAGATAAAAGACTTAATGAAAATCTTACTCTCTTGCTAAATATTGATTATCACCGTAATCATAGGGTTGTGAAGATTGGCCAATATTATTGGGACCAATTATTGTTAGGTATGAGATAGATACCCACAGAAGACAGTGGAAGATTTCCCCCCCATTATTACGAATCGATTGAACTTAGACTCGTGCACAAGTGAATCTCGACTTAGATGTCTAGAGGTCAAGCGTTTGCACATAAGACCAAAGATCCTAAGCCGGACTCCCGGTTATTGAGTTATAAAGGCGTACTGTTGAGGAGCCAAATACTAGTAAGAAACAGCTCTTTTTCCAGTTCTTCCTGATTCTCAGTGGTTGTCTAACTTTGGTCGATTCATGATGTCAATAAATCTTTACACCGGAATAATAAATGAAAGAATACCATTTCATCATAAACTTTTTGAAATGATATTTAATTATATGTGCTTGGAAGTTATCACTAATACTGTAAGTAACAAAACCGACCGAATATAAAGATTGTGTAATAATTTATTTTAATAGTATATCATATATGAATTTGACTGATTTCAGCTAATGTAATATGAAATATAAGGCATTAAACTCTGTAGATGAAATGGATTGTTATGAAATGAATTTACTTAATACTTATAGACATGATCACAACTATATATTTGAAAGTCAATTTGTGAATACTTGAATGTATATTCAATGTAGGACAACAGGTCTCTTTTCTGATTAACTAAAGTAAGATCTTAATTTTTCTCTTCAGTAAAAGTTAACCTATTCAAATCCAGTCCTGTCAAACTAATAGACAACTTATACGAATATTCGTCAGGATTAAAACGAATAGTTTGACAGAAATTGAGCGTCGAGGAAAAAGAAGTCATTATATGATGATTTTGATTTTGATTATTACCCTGAAGAAGTCCAGACAAATTAGCTAGACGAAACGTTGGAATTATTTAAATTTCAATCGTTGAGATTATTTCAAATATAATTTTCACATATAATAATACACAACTATCTATCACTATGTAAATTTCAAATAGCTTACATTGTAGAAAGTAATTTTATGAGCTCTTTTTATTTACAATGTAATTTGTTTACATGATAATAATGAATGTTATATTGTTTATCTCTTATACATTCAGATTACGTGCATTACATGGATGTCCTCCATTGAAATATGATTCAAGACTTGCTAGAGAAGCACAAGCTTGGGCTGATAATCTTGCACGTATGAAAATTCTGAAACATAGTATATGTGATGAATATGGTGAAAATTTGGCAACATCACAATCTATTGGGAAAGCGGAATTGACCGGTTGGTTATAGTGTTTAGTTTAATTTATTGACTGAATCTTAACTGAATTATTATTAAAATAAATACACTATTTTATTTCGATATACTGGCTAGATTTCTTTTAAAAGATACGCTGTAAAACAAAATGAGTTCTTCATGTTGGTTAATCAAAATGATGCTAGAAAGAAAAATGCTTAGTTTGAATTATTTAAACTGTTGGTTTCTACGGATATTTATAATTTATCGAACTCATGAGTTTATAAAAGTTAGACAATTATTGTAAACCTTGAAGTATAAGATGACTGTTTCATACTAGTATGAAACTTCTTAGCAGTGTATATCCATGACCCTGTAACCGGAAATAGAAAACAGAACCTTTGGTCTCACATGCAAACAACCTAGCCATTAGACTATTATTAGCCCTGATAAGTAATTTCATACTAGGATGAAAAGGCCATCCAGTGTTTCCAGATTTGTAATGTTTGTCTAACTTGGATTGATTCGTGATTTTAATGAAATTCAACAATTTTCAGAACCCCATACTAACATTTATATTTTAAGTAATTTATACTACTTGGTAAGAAAGAAACTAATGTTTTACTATTGCCGTAGTAGTTGAGTTATTAGTCTGTAAGACGCATTGTTTCTATTACTTCAAATGAATAGCGTTGAAATACCATAGAAATGTGTTGACAAATCAAATGTTAGCTAATATTAGATGAAATCGATCGTATTCGTCAATGGAGTAAGGACAATCGGTTAGTGGTGTCTATATCTTGTTAAGTTAAACTTTAATATATGTGAATCTTGACAATTAAAAAGTTTAGACAATTACTCAATATTGACTTTATTTTAATGGTAATGATCTGATGAAGATTAACTTATGCTAACGGCAACTGAAATTAGTAATCGAGATAAATGTCGAGGTAGTCACCTTACGTGACTGTATGTCATCTTAATATATAAAAGTGTTTAATATTTGGGCTTTCTAATAATGTTTTTTAATTGTATCCACAGATCAATGATTAGTTTTCCTCTATGATTCACTATCTTCGTTTAAACTTTTATTTTATTGCACAATAATTTACAGGTTCTTCAATGTGTTAGAGGTTGATTAAAACTGTTTTGTTCTAATCATCTAATATTTACGAGATTTAAAATTGATTTTCATATTTGGCTATACTTTTTAGTCTCTGTAACTCTACTACCATGAATGATATTACTTCTGACCAATTAGAGTATACATAGTAATTTGTGCTTCTCTGAAGTCAGAAATATCAGGTTTATTATTGCACGAGTTTTGAGTTATGATTGATCGTAGAACGATAGGGAATTGATTTGATCTCTATCACTGAATTTTGATTGGACGTCAGGTTAAAAACAATTTGAGGATCAATAAGCATTGAAGACCTTTTGTTGTTCATTAGTTGATATTTCAATTGGTAAGTCGAAGGTCATCCATCCAAATGACGAATTGGGTGAACTAAACTGATAATCAGGCTTACAAAAGATCATAAAAATACTCTCCTGTAATAACTGTCTGATTTCACATGCTCAGATATAATATCAACAATTTGTTTTTTCCATTACATCAGATGGTTTCTGTTCCACTAACAAATTGACTGAAACAGTAAACATCTTGGTTAGAAATTGATATGTGATATTTCTTTGACATTTTGTCATTCGAAGACCTAAAATCGTCGTTATTCTTTTTATAAAAAATTAATTGATACTTTTCTGTGTCGATATTGATAGATAAATATTTGAAAAGGATAGTAGTTTTAAACTGGATAAACTTTATAGGAATTAATGACTAGATGAACGACTAGAATCTTTTTAAAGTAGAAAATTCCTTTCATCTAATGATGATATTATTTCAGGAACAAATATATAACAAAGAGGGGTTTTGTGAATGTTCTGTAATTTAATAGTTGAATTCATGAGTTAATTGAAGCTAAAACACCATGAAAACCTGAAAGCACTGGATGGTCGTTTTGTTCTATTATGGGACTCCTCAACAGTGCTCATCCAAGACTCCGCTTCATGAGATTCGAACCCAGGACCGTCGGTCTCGTGCGCGAACGCTTAACCTTCAGACCAGTGAGCCGGCATCCAACGGTGTTAATGTCCAATTTCAACCAACCCACGAAATTGCGCGACCGTCCACCATTGTCTTTATTGAGTTATTATCTTAGAACAGACCCGGTTGAACACCACTATTCACTCCTTCTCTCTAGAACTCCAGGAAATACCTTTTGGAGACCCTCACTAGTGAGCATATAATGATTATAATCAAACAAGGGTCTTGCGGATATTATAGGAATTTAATAATTGAATTTTATATAGAATGTAGAATCCATGCTATTAAGAAGAAATCGGGTTTGTTTAATTTTTTGTTCGCACATGTTATCTCTTTCTTTAAAGAATTATTTCGATGACATTTCCATAACTTACATTTCCGTAATAACATCGGCTAATACCTGTTTAATTGTCATCGTTTTCAGTTTGTTAACTTTTTTATACACACCGCTAATACAAAAATCGAGTTGTTCCTTTATGAATTTTATATCTGTACAAAATATAAATTTGTTATCTATTAATGTGTAAATTATTAAGATTGGAGTGTTGTCATGTCCAGTTTATTTGAGTTTCCATACTTTACGTTGTATGACAAGAATTTCCTGCTGTTTTTTAACAGAATGTACCAAAACCTAACCAGAAATCCCAGTACCTCAATGACACTTGTGAGATAACAAAAATGTAAATATAAAGCTATTTATTATCAAATCTAATGTATAACAAATGAATTCCAATCTTTGAACCTTATTCAATCTATCTGTTACATGGTTTAGTTTTTGCTAATTGCATGAGTTTTATCAAATTGTCTAATAACAAAGTCAAACTCTTCCATAAACAAAATTAATCAATATAAAATACATGTTGTAAACAAAAGCTTTACATAAATACCAGGAATTATAGGGATGTTTCTATTTTTGTGAACGTTTATCTATCATTTCAAGGAATGTTTTGAAATGAAATGAAACGAAATATGAACATAAACCATAAAATTGTTACATCATTTTATTGGTTGGAGAATATAATCCAAATTTGTTTCTTTGAATAAAGTTATCTCTATGTAAGAGTAATATCTCTTGACTTATTCATACCTAACTAATTTGTAATGTTAAAGATCAATTTTGTTTTGTTTTATAGGGGCTCTAGCAACACAAAACTGGTACAATGAAATTCATGATCACAATTTTGATAAACAATTTCAAAGTCAAACAGGTAAGGATAATCATATATGAAAACCAATATGTTATGTTTATCAGTGTTAAACAAACTAACAGTAATCCGTGGTTTAAACCTTGAAAATTTAACGATTTCCACAAAACTATCATACTACTAACAATAATCAATTGCTCACTAATGGCTAACGTCAATAGGTAATTGCAGATGTTTATAGTGAGAGGCCATGATTAAGAGAGTTCAATCATGTCGGATGTGATACAGTTGTCCACAAGTGGTAATAGAAGATTCTCGAGCAATACTGTCAACCGACACCATTAGATGTCGGTTCAGCGTTCCAAAGGATAAACGTCAACTCGAATTCAGGTAGGAGTGATCCATTCAAATCTGTCTATATATGACTGACGGATTGTAGTCAGAAGGATTAGCTGTCAGTCATCTGTGAAGAAATTGGGATGGATCGCAGCAACCGGAACTTTGCGTTGATAACTTTGTTCAGGAGAACAATAAAGACATCATGATTAAACGATCCTGCTCAAAAACACGAAACTCCACTGAAAATACATGAAACTGTTTAACGGATTGCCGACAGACATTGATAATCTAAGGAAAATGTGTCGAAAATTTATAGGATTGACCAACGAACGTAAGCACATTGATTAGGAAATTGTCAAAAGCTTTCAAAATTCATTGTTAACCATCCTTCAATAATTTAATAATGACTGACATGAGGAGTAAATTCTCGGGGTTCTTATAAAAAATCTTGACTAGTAAAGTTTAAATATGGTGAGTGTGATGCATTAAAAGAGATTAAAAGATGGTTGGACCATATCACGAATTGATTGAACCTAAACATTAAAACGATTGGATGACGATCCGTTGACCATTTGTCAGTCTCTACCTTTAGATCTGAACATCCCAAGTTCGATTTCCGGAGGGAGAGAACTGGAAATTTTTCTTACAGAAATATCCCATACAATAACAAAAAATCTGTTCAGTGCTTCTCAGTTGTCTAGTCGAAACCATCTAGTGGTGCAAATTATAAAGCTTAACAATGGTCACAAAATCCTTATGGTTAAGATAACATTTGTTTCTAACTATTTACGTCAAACTGACAGTTCCGAAGTTTTAACAGATTTCGTGCATTCAGCCTAATTTGTTTTATGAATTGGTTTATTAACTTAGATCTAAGGAATTTATTCTTCTTTTATCTGTAACTGGCTTGAATTTAATTTCCTAAATAAAGCCTTTTGCCTTATTACTTACTTACTTACTTACTTACTTACTTACTTACTTACTTACTTACTTACTTACGCCTGTTACTCCTAATGGAACATAGGCCGCCGATCAGCATTCTCCAACCCACTCTGTCCTGCACCTTTTTTTCTAATTCCATCCAATTTCTCTTCATTTTTCTCATGTCTATCTTCATTTACCGGCTTAATGTGTTCTTTGGTCTTCCTCTTTTCCATTGGCCTTGAGGATTCCATGTGAGGGCTTGTCTTGTGACTCAGTTGTGTGCTTTTCTCAGTGTGTGTCCTATCCACTTCCAGCGCTTCTTCCTGATTTCGTCCTCCGCTGAGATCTGGTTTGTTCTTTCCCACAGTTGGTTGTTGATAATAGTGTCCGGCCAACGGATCCGAAGTATTTTGCGTAGATAACTGTTAATAAACACCTGTATTTTCTAGATGATGGCTTTCGTATTTCTCCAGGTTTCTGCTCCATACAGTAGAACTGTCTTGACATTTGTATTGAAAATCCTGACCTTGGTGTTGGTTGACAGTTGTTTTTAGTTCCAGATGTTCTTCAGTTGTATCAAGCTCATGGTTACATTACTATTGGATAAGAATAAAATATAGTAACTGTCTATAAATCAAACAAAAACTTAAGATTAAGGAAGTAAAGGAAAACGAATAATCTAACTGTTCATAATGATAAATTTAAAAAAATTCTAGTTATAACCATATGAAACAAATTATAAAACTAATAATTAACTAAATTCGTTAAACTTTTATTAAAGAAATGTACATAATGATTATTTTACTTCTTCTCACTAATATCAGGTCATTTTACGCAGGTTATTTGGAAGAATACATCAAAAGCAGGATTTGGCATTCAACATTCAAATGATGGACATCATGTATATATAGTAGGACGTTATGAACCAGCTGGGAATGTATATGGTCAATTTCAAGAAAATGTACCTCGACCTATCCGTGAACAGTCAACTCGTAAGTGATTCTTAGAAATTAAAAGATTAGTTAGTGAATATTACTTGCAGTACAGAAAGATTACACTGAAATCATTCAGGAGAAGTGAGAGTTAATGTTTACTACAGTACTGAAGTAATCATTTTCAAATTAATAATTCTAAGATTTTATAGTAAAGTGTAAATAATAAAACTGACCATTACCTAACAAATTCAAAACTGTCTATAATATGATTTCTTTTAGTAATCAGAATTATTAAATACGGACGACAGTAAGTGAATGGTAACTGTTAGGAATTACATATGAACTAATATTATATGGATATTCTAATTGTATAGTTATTAGGTAACTATATTATATGTATATTCATATTCCTCTTATTATAAGCTTTTATTTGACTAATGGACTGTTATCGTACGATTTACTATTCTTGAGATATTCCCAATTTATTAGTAATGGTTTGCCACAATCACAGCCACTTTTTAGCTTGATCTTATATAATTGTTATTTTCTATTTTATAATATGATGCAGTCTGGTTTGTTTGTATATAAACCCAGTATGTCTGAAATATATGATTCGTATCGCGGGAATTGATATTGGCATCCTGAACTCAATCGTTTGGGTTACGAGAGAAGCTATTATCTCTCTGGATTAATCTGATCGTATAAGTCGATGTCTGTAATAGGTGGTTGTATCACATGATATAATTAATCGGGCATAAGGACATAACAAAAATATCTTGAATAAACGAAGAACAGTTAATCAAGTATAGAGTATCAAATTTTTGTCACCATAGCAATGAGTCAAAATGAAACAAATCTCTAATGTAGATCCGTCTACTAAGAATTCATTAATTTATTTTTTAAAAAGAGTAAAACCACGGTTAGAAAATTTAGAAAAAGACATACAATTTGTTAGCTTTCTTATCTACCGATGTTTCATTTATTAAATAAGAAAGAAAGATTAGTTCAGTGAAGAGTTCTCTTTTCGGTGAATTCATTTTCAAAGCTGTACAATCGCAAATATATATACTTATTTTTACAGGGTGATAATAATCCTGATAATAAACTTATGTTATACATGGTGACAGTGAGGTTAAATAAACAGAGGTATTAGAAAAAAAATTTTAAAACAAGGAAAGTTTAATAATTGTTTGATAGTTAATGGCTCAAGCACTCATCGGGTAAGGATGGCTCAGTATCATAAAATCAAATGTTGAAACAGAGATGAAATATAATCGGAATGATCGTGCAAATGAAAGCAAACCGTTTGGGGGTAGAAGATTTGGAGGGAAGATGGAAGGTGAAGCAGGTGGATGTAAGGGATCAAGAGTATGAAGAAAGAGAAAAAATTTTAATACATTAAGACCATGGTAGAAGAAGAGGTTGTACTAATCTCTTTTGTACACATAATTCTGGTTTTTCAAAATGTATGGCTATTGCCTCGGCAATGCAAAGAAGATGCAGTCTAATTGTCTTAGGAAGGCTTCTACTTACCTTGTAGATGACTTTGAACGGAGAGTCTGTCTTGATTGAGTGATCTGTGTTCACAAGGTGTTCGATTATAGAACTTCTTATTGAGCCGTTGCCTCCTCCTTTTATCCACGCCGGACAATGTCCTTGAATTCTTTTGGATAAAGTACGCTTCGAACGACCTATATACCTAGTTCCACAAGAGCGGGTAAATTGGTAAATGCACATTGAGTTGGTCAGATGCGATAATTTATCTTTTAGATTATTGGTGAACAGTGACCGGCTGGAGAATAATATTCGCAATGTTGCTGCGAAGAATATTCTTTTTAAAGAATCCGAAATTCTCCTCTTTAAGATATATGCGGCTCTATCACCTTTGAAGTCAATATTCATGTATAAAATTTTCTTCTCTACTGTAATTGTTTGTGGTTTTGGCATTTTCAGCTTCATGTTCTTATCAATGAATGTAGAAGGATATCCGTTTTCTGATAAGAATCTCCTTTAAAAGGCTCAATTCTTCCTCTACGACCTCCGGAGCTACAGATTCATTTATTCACTAAGAAAAAGAAACACTATCACGGTTACTCCAAACGTCTTTCAAGATTGATAGAGTACTATAATTTTATCATAATTCAGTTGCATAGTATATAAATACCCACTTCAAACCCTTCTCTTAGAAAACATATAAATATGTAAAGTATTAACTTAAAATGTTTTCAGAAATCAGTTTTGAATGATTAAACAAAAATTCTGATTCAACAAAAAAAAGTGTTTCCAATTTAGGTTTATGAGCACAATGAGAAAATTATTCTCTTTTGTTTTAATTGATGGTACATTGTTTACAAAACAAAACAAGAACGTTTATGATTGAAGGTTTTGTGCATGATCTTACTTGAAATGAATCACAAAAGTCTTCTGATTGAAATGTCATCATCTTAGAATTTTACAAAATGAAACGTGTTTATAACTAAAATTAGTGATGGATTAAATAACATCGATTAAACACTTCATTTAATAGTTAAATTTATAAGTCAATTATAGCTAGACCGCCATGGAAAAGCTGGAAGCATTAGATGGTCATTTCATTCTAGTATGAGACTTTTCATGAGGACACATCCACGACGGATCCTATTCTAGGACGAAACGGAACTCCAGTGTTTCCAGCTTTTCCATGGTGGTCTAGCTTTAACTGATTCATGAATTCAACATTTAAATAAATATGATTGATTAAACACTTCATATTTTTTTTAAAAATTGTACATGAATATAAAAAAAGTAGTGAGACTATAATTTATGGACGACCTTTGAGAGACACTGGACGAACTTTGAGAGTATCCACTTAATAACAAGCAGTAAATAAGGGTTATAAACCTGTTTGAGGAATTGGAATTACGATTTACAGTTGATAGTAGAGATTAGGGATTAGATTTAGGAATTTCATCACAAACTAACATTAGCTATAATGGCAAAACTCTATTTAGCTAAATGTATGAATGAATTTCGCGCCAAAATTCAAGACCTGTTATCCCAAATCTGATTGGTTCATCCATAAATTATAGTCTTGTCAAAACAAATTTTAAAATGTTCAATGTTCAGTATTTAATATTTTTTTAAAAATCATGTCAAATTGATTAATTTTAAATAACCATTATTTATTACAGCGAAATCCAAAGAATTTTCTTACAAACATGATGAACGAAATGGTCCAAGAAGAACCTATCGAGGTAGATTTGATTATGAAATTAATAATTTTCCATTTGTATAATTTTTTATATCCCAGGAAATTAAGATTTAAGAAGAACGGTCTTAAAATAATTGTGTATAAATCACTCTTATTAATATAAAATTCATATAAATGTCATTATAAAATGGTATGACATGAATTAGGACTGTAATGACTTGGTTTCGAAACAATTCATTAAGATTCATTGATCAATCACTTTAATAACCGTTATCAAATAAATTTCAACGGTGTATAAATTCAGAAGGTAACATAAAGCACCGACTATAGTTTATTTTATTAGATAGCACATATAGCAAAATTACAAGTACACCAAATGAATTTGGGAAGAAATGCTAATATGCTTGAGTAAGCAAATACAGAGTCAAATATATGTATATCTCATAATCATATGAGCATAGTATATAGATATGTTTATGAGAAAGCAAATGATTCATTCAGTAATATGTAAACGACTAGCATTTACGCTAGAGAGATATATAAATGGTTAGGCCGTCACATTTGATCAAGTATACCTATTTATATAAATATGATAGTAATAATCATAGTACAAAGAAATAGACAAAATATTACAGTTCGAATAACACTGTCTGTTAAATAAGTTAGTAAAAGAACCCGACAAAATTGACCGTAAACAAACCCAATTGTTGGAGAGGTGCTGAAGGGCTTCGGTGCAATTAGATTGAATCTATCTCAACCAGTATAATATTTTAATACAAGAACTTGTTAAACCTGAAATTTTTCTAGTAAATATATAATTTAAATAATGGAAATTATTATTATCAATATTATCATTACTATTATTACTGTCGTAGATCCAATCATCATTTCTAAGTTCATTAATCTGATATAACGATCTATCTTTTAGAATATAAAGCATTCAAGAATGTTTCGTAAAGAGATTTGTATAGTTTAACTATAGTTTTCATTAAATCCTAATCACATCTAGCCAATAATTTGAAACTAGTGTGTATTGAGTAGACGTTTAGTCTTCATTTATGACACTTCGTAAATCACAGTTGATTGATCACTGGGTGGTGATTAATGCCATAGGTGTCAAGTCCTTATTAGTGCAGATCAAGTGCTATGGACTAAGTTGCAATGTGGCCACCAATCTAGGTGACCCGACAATGTGTGCACTATGTTGAGATTAGATGGTGGTTGGAGGTAGTCGACAAGAAACCCTGGACTCGGGTTTCGTCCTACATAGCACTCGTCATCGAGGTGTACCTGTAGTCTTGAGGGAACTGGTGCTCCCCGACGGATTCGATCGTGTGTTACTCAGCTTCACAGTCAGGGACGTTACCACTGAGCTATCCGCGTGCTGACCCACAACTTTAAACGGGATTAAAAGATGTACTATAGAAATGAGATAAAACATTTATCCATTACCTTTGATTTTTATTAATTCTTCAGCGATCACTGCTTAATGACAAAAAACATTTTAATCCGATATTATTTCACAGTCAACTTCTACATTTAGTCACTATAATTAGTTTTCTGCTAATTAATGGATTTTTTTGACGTTATGTGCACAGTTTAAAGAATTAACTACTCATTTTGTTTTAGTAGTAGATAGTGATACATACAAATTATTCCAATGATTATGTAAGGTTTGTGTTGAGTTAGACTTTTGTAGTATATTCAAAAGTGTGAAAAATCATGTTTTGTTTATAGAGATTTTGATTGTTAATACTTTAAAAATTACAAAAATGTGTATTTGTGCAGAATGTAGTAGTTTAAGTACTTGGATTCATCGTCGACAACCCGAAAGCAATAAACGACCGTTTTTCATCCTAGTAGGAGACTCCTCAGAATTGTGCACCCATGACCCCTTATACGAGACTCAAACCAATGATCTTCAGTCCCACACATGGACACTTAACCTCTAGTCCATTGAACCGGCATCAAACGGTGTTAATGTCGAAATGATGAAATAAGAAAAAGGATAGAATCCATTATTTTTGACTCTCTGATATTCATTATTAAGTAGAATATACAACTCGAAGTAGACTTATTTCTAAATGTTTACGATAAGTGTCAAGCCATACTGTTCCCTATTACTTCTTCTTGAACTATTGTGAAAGGATTATACTGTGTTGCGTAAAACAATCAAGTCTATTTGTTGAGTGAATTTTGAAAAACTATCATGAATATGATTGTGGATAGACATCTGAAATTTCGTAACCAACTGGAGTGTGTTATTTTATTAAATACAGACTATCTATTCCACTCACTTCTGTCGCTTTATATATTGTGTGACAAAAGGTAACACAAGTACAATAGAAGTCATGGATGCGAAAACATTTCCAGATACTTTACAATATCGTATTTAATATATAAACCATACTGCTGAAATATTGTATGACCTGCTCTACTCAGAATTCTATCCTCTCGAACATCTAACTTATTAAGTGTTGTAAATATGTTTTTCTTTTATGGAAATTTCATTTAGTTTTACACAATTTCATTGACTTATTTTTCATACATATAGACAGGAAACGCTGGATGTAGGTTTCGGTCAGTTTGGCACTTGTGAGAAAGGTGTATTTGCAATCTTGAGTGACGTGATGCTCTGTGATAGATATGATTCCACGTAACTCAGCTTCAAAGTATCACGTTACTGACGAGTGCCAAACAACATGAAAGCTATGTCGAGTGTTTTCTGTCTACTACCTAGAGGTTGGGCGTTGGTGTGCAAGAATGAAGATTCTAGGTTCGAATCTTGTATGTGTGTAAGCACACTGCTGAGTCATCCCATAATAGGATGGAACGGCCATTCAGTGATCTACGTTTTCATTGGTAGTCTTGCTTAGATCGATTCGTGAATTTAACTTTTAAAATAGAATGAATTCATGATATTCTGATTAAATATTTGTTCTTGCTTTCTTCAAAACTTATGTGTATTAACTTTGTAATGACTAAAAAAATTGAGAAAAACTGATTGAGATGTATGCTGACATCTTTATATTGTGCTAAATATACAGTATAGAATAAAATGATTATTATTATTTATTTATAATCTATCTAACGTTTCTTTATATCTGTCAATGATTGAAGTTGTACAGTTTAATATGGCAATTCCCAAACATTCTTTGATTAGTGTATTCTACTGTGCTGCTATCTGCTAATAATGGTAACAATTCAATTATCATATGGACAAGTTTCAGTAATGTAAATGACCCGCGATTAGATCATCAAGTCCTTCACCATAAATATTGGTCGATTAGATGTTATAGTAAATTTTAAAATATTTATCGTCAATTACATTGTTTTGATTTACACTACTGTGACCATTATACGCATTTAATATTTAATGTATACACCGGTCATCAATCATGATGAGTTGAATAAATATCGCCTGTCTAAATAATGTTAGACGTTCAGTTTCTATTTTTAAAATAATTAAAACTTACATACCTTGAATGACTGAAGTATATAGAACAGTCGGAAAGTATCTAGCAGTGGAATACAAGATGTAGATTTTGTTCTATTTGAGATTCGACAGCTGAATATACCTGGTACCCAGCTGACAATTCCCAAATAGGAAAACAACATGCATCCTATATTTCAATACTTGATTCATTCTATCCATTCTACATAAACTTGTATCAAAATGTCTATATTTAGGCAATTCTCACAGGATGCAAATATATTAACAGAGAATGATCAAATTTCAGTGAAATAAATATCAACAACAGGATAATCCTATCCATTTCAAATTGAATTCATTGAAACTATTAATTGCTTTTAGTAGAAATTTGCTGGATTGTTATATGTCTAAAATCATGAAGCATTTGAGCACTTTTATAAGATTTAGATATAAATTATGTATAATAAAATTGCTTAACCATCTATCCACAAAGAAATACCTTCATGTATATAATATGGTTATGTCTAAAGTAAAATATAGTGAACTGGAACTTTGGTGTCAGTGGTTCAAGGTGTAAATCATTTTGTAGAGGCCCAGATCTGACTCCATTTCAGATTGTATGAATGATGGCTATCACCTATTCTCGTATATAATCGCCGACTTAAATCACGTTATCCAGTAACGGAATTAAATAAGTCAAATAACGAGAATGGGATGTTGAATACATATATTTTGTATGTAAAGTGAATGTAATAGAACAGAGCAAAATGACGCACAGGGAGGATGGCTGGGAAGCCAACTCCCTTTCAAGCTAGGCATTACTTAATATTTATAGGCGGACAAAATAAACGACAGACATGTGATAAGTCACGGGACATGAAATGTACACACATACGCTCATATGAAAACAGTCAGGGCTAATAAGCGAATAATTAACAAGGTCAAAATGTGACTCAAGTAGAATGAATAAAATGGGATATCCGCAAGCTAGAATAAGGTATATGGGCTTGGCATAATAACTGACACTACAATTTTACTGATCATAATATATTTTATTTCGTACAATGTAGAATTTGACAAGTTCCTTATCTCATTCTTGATCATTAATCATTGAGTTTTGATATAAATTATAGAAGAGAGTGATTAGAAAAATAACTATTTTCTTCGAATACTCAATCAATACAGATCATTGAATGCAGGTAAATATAGTTTCTAAAGTTATTTATTTCTTGTTCAACCTGATTTACTCTTTCAGGTATCATTTCTTATAGTAAATTTATTAGAAATTCATTTCAACTGAGATAATTTTCTTTACTTTAATCATCTATCAGAAGGGGTTTTGTGGAGATTGTAGTAATTTAAACAGTTGAGATCATGAGTCAGTTGAAGCTAGACCACCATGGGAAACCTGGAAGTACTGGACGGTCGTTTCGTCCTATTGTGGGACTCCTCAGTAGTGTATACTTATGTAAAAACTATAATGAGAAATTATTTGAGAAGTAATTTACTATTTTGTTTTACTTTCACAGTAGTTTGTTAAACTTTAACTGGTTCCTTAATTCAACTTTTACACTTACAGAATATATATGTCATTGCTTGAATCCATTCATGAGTTCACTGTTGTTTATTTTGATTGACCCAGTTGTATAATTTAAATTGTAAACAAATGCATTTGGCTCACTAATAGGTTAATTTGTAAATTTTATTCATTATAAAAACTGATAAACTCTAAATCATATAAAATAATGTCAAATCTTTGGTTTATCAATAAAGGGGTTGTTACGAATGCTGATGATTATAAATGCAATCCACAAAAAGAAGCTGGTAGGTATTGTTAAGTTATCTTATATATATATATATATGACATGATATATACTCAGTCTGTGATACAAACTATATTGATAATATTTTTTTATTTGAACCTTTTCAGATGAAATAGTTATTGTTCGAGAGACAGATAGAAGAGACAACAATGGTTCAAGTAAATCTCTGAGTATTTTTTTTAAAAATTCAGTTAATATATATTTTGTATTGAGAAGGATTAACCAGTTATTTCATCTTGCTCAATAATCAGCTAATATTTTCTTATCAAGGATCAAACTTAGGGTCTTTAGATTCTGTGGAAAGCTCCTGACAATTAGGTAACTGAACTATTGTTCAACAGTTAACGTTTTTACTTCATTCAATTAGGGATATTATGTGACCAGCTTTTAGTGATATCTTCGGTTCATGTTTCAGACCTGACTTGTATAAACTTCATTAATCACTACTCTTAATTAGAACACTTGGATTTTTATTGTCAAGGCTGGTTAACTATTAAGCATGTGGATGGTATGAATATAAATGATTTTGGAGTAGTGTAGACTGGATTTAGATCGTTGACTGAATCATAAACTTCTACTTCTGAAGAGATCTGATTGGAACGAAACAACTATTGATTACTTATTGAATTTTAGTTATTTCTGAATTACAATCAGTAAGTGATACAAACTGTAAAAAAATAAGGAATCCTATTTCTGTATCACAAAACTACGTGTTATGTTATTCAACCTATAAAAAAAAATCGAAAAACAGTAAGAGTAACATAATAAAATGAATTAATAACTTCAAAACATCATCAATCTATCAATAATTAGTTTCCAAGTTACTTAATATTATGTAACTAAAGAAGTTATGTTGTAGAACAATTCTTCTAAGAATAATGCTTATTCTTCAAAGAATTCATTCCTCTTGGATTTCTTAATCTTCAAGAATTCAAGATGAAAGAACATGGATATTTGCTGTCGACATTTGAAATTTTTTTTCTTCATTTTTAAGATTATTCTTTTAGTAGTACATAATAAATTTGTTTAAATATCTGTCTTTTTATAAAACTTTCCAATAATTACTCAACCATTTTATATCGCATTAGATGAACTTAGAATTCAAGCATTGTTCAAGGGTGCTAAGAGTAAACAACATTTGTAAATTGGAAGACAATTTCATTAATCATAACTTCTAAGCATTCGATTTTTTGTAAACTATACGTCGTTAGTAATTTGAAAATATTATTTTTTTTTGGCTTTGCTCAGAATTAATTCGGAAACCAAATGTATAATCCTTATTCTTTCAGAGTTATTGAATTCTGTTATCTGGATGATTGATTTATGGAGATTTATTTATTGTTCTGAATAATATTATCATTGCTTATTTGATGTAGAAATGAGTTCAGTTATTCTATGATTAGTATTTCGTTATCAGAGTATGTTTCAAACAATAAAATGATCAGTGGTCAATGGAACGGGACATTCAATTTAAACACACAAACAAACGACAACTATGATAACAAATTACAAACAAAGTTACCAGAATAAACTAACTTATTACTAATAGAATATAATCGAACTTATCTTTACATCAATTAAGTATTAATAATGTTATTCAAAACGATAAAGAAATCTCCACAAATCAATCATGAGTCAATTAAAGCTAGACCACCAATGACAAACCTGGAAACACTGAATGGCCGTTTCGTCCTAGTATAAGACTTCTCAGCAGAGCACATTGACGGTTCCGCTCCATGAGATTCCAACCCAAGACCTATCGGTTTCATTCGCAAACGTCTACCCTTTAACGCTGCTAATCTCTAAATTCAATCAATCCGCAAAACTAAGACACCATTGTCTTCAATGAGTTACTATCTCACAACAGATCTCGTTGAACTCCACTTATCACTGCTTTTCACTGTAAATCATTCATCATTTAATACTACTCATTCATTTGGCAATATTGTTTAAAGGTTATCTAAATAAATTGGAATACAAACTGTCTAGTCTTATTTTTGTATTATATTCATTCTAATCAATATTGTGCAAATGCAAAAATAAAAAAATTTTTTTTGGAATTGTCTTAGTGATAAACACTAAAAAAATAATCATATGATGTTGCTAACATTTAAATTTGTTTTTAATGAATTTACTAGATCATATTACAATGGTAGATAGTTCTAAACGAAACTGGCCAAATGGAACGACGCCAAATAGTAACAATGGTAAATATATACACTTTTTTGTATAAATTTAATTCAGTTTTTCTTATATATTTCATCTATCATTTTGTTTTACTGAACAACAAAAACACTTATCTTACTACGCCAAAAAAACACCCCGGAATTTTTAAATAATAATGATCCAACATTCTGTTTTGTAATCATAATTATATTGTTGACTAAAACGAAAAGGTATTTCAGTCTAAACAAATTTATTAAATATTTTCATAATTGTTCTACAAATCAATATGATTAGCTTCAACTGACTCATGATCTTAACCATTAAAATTACTATAATATTCACAAAACCCTTCTGATATTAATTAATATATGCTCATTAGTGACTGGATTCAAGAGGTATATTCTGGAGTTCTAGTGAGAAGTAGTGACCAGTGGAGTTCAACCGGGTCAGTTGTGAGGTAGTAACTCACTGAAGACAATGCTGGATGTGTCACTCAATTTCGTGGATTAGTTGAAGTTATACATTAACACCGTTGGATGTCGGCTCAGTAGTCTAGCGGTTAAGTGCTCACGCACGAAACCAGTAGGTCCTGGGTTAGAATCACGAAGGGGGCAGGGTCGCTGATGTGCACTGCTGAGGAGTCCCACACTGGGACGAAACGGCCGTCTAGTGCTTCCAGGTTTTCCATGGTGGTCTAGCTTCAACTGACTCATGATCTTAACCATTGAAATTACCATAATATTCACAAAATACATCTGATATTAATCAATATGAAATTAATAAATCTATTCAAAGATAAGTGTTGAAATGCCACACGATGGACTTGTACCTAAAATCCTTGGTTTCACCTATATAACGCTTAACCTCTAAACCACAGTGTTATTGATGTCTAACTTTAACCATAATCCTATACTGATATTTATCATATTGTCATTATTGATTACATTTAGAGACGGAATTCTCGTAACTAGTAGAGTTCACTTGTGTCAGGTGTGAGGTAGTTACGCAACAAAAACAATCGAATATAATCTCGTAGTTTGTGTACTGCTTCCATGCTTTCAATGGTGGCCTAACTGTTATATTTGTAGCATTGTGTCCAATTAATATACAAACGCAATGATTCTGACAATTAGAGAAAAGTAAATTATCGACCGGACCAATGACACATAAACCCGTACAAGCAGTTTAGAGTACTTATCAGTCCTCCTTTCTCCTAACTCTGTCTTTTGAGTCCAAAATACCAATCTCAGTCTCCCATATATAAATCATATATTTCAAACATACTGGGTTTATATATACAAGCCAGAACGGACCACATCACACCATAAAATGGAAAGTAACACTTGTACAACATCAAGCCGAAAAGTAGTCGTGAATGTGGGAGACTGTAATGAATAGACTTGGCATAACTTAAGAATGGTAAATCGTCTAATAATATCTATAGGTCAAAATAACATTTATAATAAGAGGAACATGAATATACATAGTTTAGTTACTTAACAACTACATAATTAAAATTTATGTATCGTATTGGTCCATAAATAGATCCTAACAGATAACATTCACTATTCTCACCGAAGCATAGCACTAGCATCGATCGATTCATTATTTCAGTGAAACTCGACGACCTCTACAACTCCAAACTGAGACGTTTTATTACAATAAATAAACCGATACCCGACATGAAATAATATGAGGTTCTTCAGATAGTCGCTCAAATTTGGTAACTTAAGAGACGTGCATTGGCGTATGTGAAATGCTACTTCGCCAACGCATCTACAGTCGACTTTATTGATCAAATGTCGATCATTCTGTACAAGCGAGTTTAAACTAATCATATTACAGAGTTACTAAAACATAGCAAAGAATGTAGTATTCGAATAGCTGACACTGTACTTATCATTTAGATTCATTCACTAAATGATAAGAGACCTACCTCTGGATGTTCCTACCATAGATTCTCTAAAATTATGTAAACAATGAAATGTAGTCCAAGGACTCATATAATAATCCTTATATTTGGTCTAACAAATCACCGACCTTTTTAAATGATTTACTCTTTAGATTTACTTCGTGAATACTTTTTTAAATTATCTAGAATAGTTTTATAAAGTTCGAACCCTGTCAGGTTTCTGTTATATTCCGTTAACTATGGAGTCACTTAACCATAGTATATGACACTTCAGTGGCGCACATCGACGACCCCACCCCTGAGGATTGAACCCGTCATCTTCGGTCTCACACGTGAACGCTTAAACTTTAGAGTACTGAGCCATGATTTATTGATTTGCAAGTTTGAATTCAGCCAATCCACAATGTCGAAAAAAAACTATCTTCCAACACACTTGATATGTAACTACCACACACTCGACATTGTTAAATTTCACAGGTCACGATTTTTTGCTAGAACTTCCGTACCACCTTCAGAAATTAGTCACTTGTATTAAAGTACGAGCCTGAAGTTGCTGGATTCGATTTTCAGTAGTGAGAATGCGGCTACTCACTGTTGAAGAGTCATGTACTAAGACGAAATAGCTGTCTAGTGCCTTCTGGTTTTTCATTGTAAAGTTGGCTTATTAATAAGGGTTTATAATTTATCCTTGTTGATATTCAGGACCGCAACTGACCACACACCGTCACCATATGTGGATCTTGAGAGAACTGTCTCGATGTTTCATTGTTACCTATATCTTTGTGTTGATATATACAATGAAAGTTAAATCTAGTACCTTTCACTTCAAACGCTCGAAATATGAGAGAGACTGAGTGGCTGCTGTCCAAAATATTGACAACAAGGAAATTCAAAACTTCACGCCAGTTGAACAAGTTATTAGCTACAAAAACTCGGTGGTTCAGTGAAAAGCATAAAAGAGAAAGGTATTGAGTTCAAACTTTTATCTTGACATCAACTTTACGATGTTAATGCATCGAACAAGATTCATTCTCTTGATTTCGCATTGCAAACTAGCGAATTGTTGGAAAGAGGATAACCCAATATATCCAGTCTTATTAGTCCTTAGTGAAAGTGTTTGAAGGTATACTGAACTTTCAGTGTTTTAAAGTTCATAAATAGAAGTTACTAGTTTATTAGAAGTCCGTCCGAAATAACAATAATAATAATAAAGTATTTATATATAGTTCTATTATGGACTCGTACATTTTTTTGTTTTATTCTTGTGAGCGGGATCGTAGATGCGCATTGTTGACGAGTCCCATACTACGACGAAACGGCCTTCCAGTGCATTCAGCTTTTCCATAGTGGTCTAGCTTAGATTGACTCATGAACTCAATTATTTAAATAATTAAGTTGAGGTTTTCAAAATGAGTGTAATCATTAGGGAACACTATAAAAACGTTATTCCAAGTGAATGAGAACAAAATTATTGTTCAGATTTATCATCATATCAGGGGGATTCTAAGTATAATTTAATGATGTTTTTCACGAGAAGAAATCTTATTAGGAAACTGATAGTTTATACCTTATCTATAATAAGACCCTAGGTAGTCTTTCATGATCAGTCAAACCAATGACGTTCGACCGGTATGAGCAGCCTAGCGTCCTTATTGATTCTCTCGCCCCTTAGACTTGCCAGTTGAGTCCAGAACACTAATACCATCTTCCACTATGCGAATCATTTATTTCAAACATACTGGGTTTATATACAAGCCAGAACGGACCACATCACATCATAAAATAGTAAATAACATTTGTACAAAACCTACCCAGAAAGTGGCTATAAGTGTGAGAGACTGTAATTAATAGACTGAACATAACTTGAGAATAGTAAGTCGTATAGTGATAGTCTATAGGTCAAAATGAAGCTATAGTAACTATACATAATTTAGTTACTGAATAGTTGTGCAATAAGAATATGATATAATATTTGTCAGTAAATAGTTTATAGAAGTTACCTAGAATTTAATCTTCACTAGGATATAACACTTTGGACTTATCGGCGAAGTGTATCCGTAATTTCGTGCTCACTGATTTCCCTAATAATACGTCATCCATATGTCGTAGTCATGCTTATTGTCACTCTAGTATTTAAAACACATCTAGTCACATGTATACTTCGTTGAGAAAGATTCAAAGAATTGTAATGATCAGCTAAAAGATTAGGGAGGAAGTAGTGAACTTGGTACAGATTACTAGTTCCAATTTTCATTGATTTTATCAGAAATGGAGTATTTGTGAAGATTGTATCAATTTAATAGTTGAATTCATGAGTCGAATAAAGCTAGACCACCATGATAAACCTGGAGGCAGTGGACTGCCCTTTGGTCCTAATATTATTAACAAGATACGTTCTCAGCATTATTCCCTTTACGTGTAACTCTAAAAGCATTTAAGAAAATCTGACACGAAGTGATAAACTTTCGTTGACGAAAAACTTCAGGAAACGATATATATTCTTGGTGATTAAATAAATTATAATTAATTTTTGTTATCTTTATTTAACAGTAATCTCAAAATTCTGTCTTCAACTTATATATTATACTTTATTTCCTGAACCTTCTAGAACGTACAATTCGAACAGAGAAGAAACGTCAACGAAAATGTGCGAAGAGGTGTAGTATCATGTAGTTAACAAGTGGTTTCAATATACAACCAAAAAAGTGATAATAATTATAATTTGTTATATGTTAATATAGACTAACTCATAACTTCACATGGATTATAATGTCAATGTTTCGAAAGATTTATTCGACAGAAGAATTGACAAGATAATCTTTTACAATGATTGTAATAAATGATAAAAAGGAGCAATCAAAGTTTTGTTGCATTAAAGTGATCTTTTCAAGCAGTTAAAAATGGAATTAAAGATTTTAAATGTGATTTGCATTTCTTAACTTCATTTTTCTCCTGTCTGCTTTTTGTATATTATGCTACACTACTTTTAAAATATTCAGTAGTTTAGAATATGTACTGTTTTTTTCTGAAGTGTAATATAATTCATACCTCTTTATCTATTCGACATTTATTTTCCATATTGATTAGCAATTTTTAAACAAATTTTATCTTCTGTTTTAAGGGTTTCAGATTTGAATAAATTATTTAATTGAAACTATAGAACGGATCTTTTAAATAGTGATTACTTTATGAGCAAAGATGGATAGTGGCTAGTAGTGGAATCCAGGACGCGCGTTTCGTCCTATTTGGGAATCGTCAGCTGGATGTACTGGCATTTCAGAGTTGATGTTCACTCTGGGACTCAAAACCAGTATCTTTGCTTATAATGCCTGTGAATTAAGGTAATATTGAGGCAATCGGCATATTATACACATATGCCAATAATAGACTGACCAATTACAGTCTTAAACATCAATGGGAAAATTCAAGTAAACAATACCAAGTGATTACTTTAGTGATATTAGTATGCTTTTGAAACAGCTTTTATCATGAAGCTGTATAAACTGAAAAATATCTGGAAATTCACCACTTTAAGAGTACATTTTGATCAGTGTTTGCCGATTGTCTATATTGACAGGAAATATTCTACAGTACATAATATCAGTTTCAGTCGTTGAATAAGTAATGATAATTGACACAGAAAGCTTACGAAGATTCGATATTAGTTCCAGTTAGTATAATCCTTTTATCTTGATTGAAAATTCATTTCAGTCAGTCATATTATGAAACTCGACCAATATTCGAAATATTTGTAGTTGGTCTTCATAATGAAGTTACATCAGCTATATGACTATTATTAACCAAGGAGTACTAGATGTGTATTTTGTCGTGAGCTGGAACTCACCAGTAGTAGACAGTGACAATACCACATTATTACTTAAAACCGTGCCTCAGGTTTGGTCCTGTTTAATTATTTAGAGATATCTATTTAGTGTTGGTTTACTACAAAATCCGTAGCTTTATCTGGTTTAAATACGTTTCGGCGTCAATTAACCAATCAATCATAAATGTATTATATTGTATAGAAGAATTAAATGAATATTGCTAATGTAAATTTGTAAATAACTAGTCATATGAACTGAAGATATTGTTTACTTTCAATTTAAATGTACATTGTTGTTTAATAGAAATAATAAATTACTACTGTTAAATTACTACAATCTTCACAAAACTTCTTTCTGGTAATAATCATCAAATACTCAATAGTAACTGGCTTCAAGAAGTATTTACTGGAGTTCTAGTGAGAATATGTGACCAGTGGAGATAAACCGGATCTGTTGTGAGATAATAAATCACTGAAGACAATGATGGATGTGATGTTCAATTTCATGGATTAGTTTAATTTAGAATTTAACACCGTTTAATGCCGGCTCAGTGGTCTAGAGGTTAGATGTTCGCGCATCAGATTGAAAGTCTTGGTTTCAGATCCCGTGAGTGGGATCGTTGATGCACTCTGCTGAGGGGTCGCATACTAGGAAGAAACGGCCATCCAGTGGTTTGAGGTTTTCCATGGTGGTCTAGCTTTAATTGACTCATGAATTCAACTCTTAAATAGAAAAACGTGATGATGATAATAATAAGTAATGAAAAATTATGAAGATTTAGAACATTAAAAGGATGTATTAACAATCAAGTTACAGCTTATGAAGATTATGTGCAAGGGCTATGGGAGAATGAATGTTTGTATGTGTTGCTTTTACATGTAGAGTTCAGGTAAGAAATGGTGGATTGACAACGATTCACCAATGCATAAGTTATTGATTTACGTTCCTTAATAATTAAACCAACTAAAAATATAGATGATTTCGAAGGAATTACAAGGTGGAGCCATGTGATCAGATGTTTTAATACTGGACTACTGATTGATTTACATTCACCTTTAAAAAGTCACACAGGATGATGTTTTGAGATGCATTTGGAAAGCTCTCGCTTTCTGCGGCCAATGTAACATACTCCACAAGGGCTAGGAAACTAATAAATACACGTCGATGTGACATAATATGGCCCATCAACATATGATTTCATTGTTACTGGACGTAAATAAACAACAAACTTTCACTAGGTACACAAAGTTACCGGTTTTAAATGGAGATTTGTTTTCTGAGCTAGATGGTTTGGTCGTAGAGCTTTCATTGTTCTTTTGAACAACATTATCAGCACAAACTTCAGGTGGAAGTGAAGTGTTCAGATTTCTGTACTTACAACACAGCATGACTTTCTTCTGTCTAGCTTGTGGTTCTATGGTTTGTCTTATTTCCTGTTAAGTTTTTTTATGTATTGATATTTGTGGATCATGTAGTGTACATCAGTTATCACTAGGTGTATCATGATTGTGGATGAACAAAAGAGGAAGCTGATGGAGATACGTACATGGGAATGTTTGACAATCCTGAGAGCAGCATTCGTGGTATCAAGCAGACGACACAGAGGAAAAAGAAGAAATACCCTCAAGGAAAAATTAGTCAATGATTTAAAACCATCCGCAGAAGAAAACATAATCAGCTAAATGGTCAACCAGACAAAACAATCTCTGGTGAACATTAAACAATACCTCCTTCGAACGAGGTTGAATTATAATACAAGTGACGCTTCAAAACTAGAATTCTTCAGTGCATTACAGTCATCCCTCAACAATCCCGGCATAAATGAAGGAACTGAACAGGAAATAAGTCAAACCATAGTACCGTCAACTCGACGGAAGAAAGAAATCACCAAACCAACCGCACAGAACAAAAAGCCTTAAAGAAATTCGGAACTTGGGAAGATGTAAAAGACATTAGAAATTACAACAAGATTATTAAAGCCGTTTGGAATTGATGTAGCACACAAAATAGAAAAACCGCTTCTGTTAATTTGGTGCAAATTAAAGTACGAAATAACAAAAGAGGGAAAATAGAACATCATTTACAAAATAAACTTTCACAATTGTCAAAAAACACTATATCTGACAAAATGGACGCCCTCTTCATCTTCGCCTGCATTAACGTCAATTAGCGGTCAAGCTATGGTTAATAAATGTCAATCAAATCATATTTTTAGTTTTCTTTCTTCTACATAATCTTATTACGATTTGTACATTAACTGGACTTTATTCATAATTATGTTGAATAATTATTATGCCACTGTTTATTAATTTCATTACTTCTAAGTAATCTAATTTCTCTTCATTTCACTACTTAGTAACTATAAAACCACTACTCTAATATCTCTTTTGTCTACAACATCAACTCTGGCATGCGAACACATCCAGCTGAAGAGCCTCAAATAGGATGAAACTCTCATCCCGGACTCCACTACTAGTCACTATTCATTTCTACTAATATACTTTTTCCCAGTATAAGTAAATATATATCAATCTTATTTTGTGGTATATTATTCTTGTTATAATCTATAATTTCATTTAAAACACCCAATAATACTTCATCTACTAAAGCATATTCAATCTTTGTTCATAATTACTTCTTGTAATTTCAAACTATTTCCAGATGAGATAGGAAGCCTTGAAATAAAATAGGGTATATAATTCGTATGAAGAACTATTATAACTATCATCAAAGTGGTACAAGTATGTATTAACAATTGCCTACTCGAGATATTTACTTCCCGTTGATCGGATATCATCAGCAACAACCTACTGTAGGAGAGAACAAACTAATTTCCATCTAAAGAGGAAATTAAGAAAAGATGTTGAAGGTGGATATGTGAATAGGATGTACATTATGGAAATCATCAAACTGCATCACAAAGCAAGCGCTAACATGGAATCCTGAAGGGAAACGGAAAAGAGGAATACCAAGGAATACATTACGTCGAAAATTGGAACTAGACATGAAAAGAATGAATAGCAACAGGAAACAACTGGAAAAGATTGTCCATGACATAGTTAGATGGAGAATGGTTGATAGGTGGTCTATACTCTTGCACGAGGTGTAACCGAGACTTAATGATATGAAACCAGTTAATTTATCGAAATACTAATATATTGATTTCTGATGTATTCCATCTGTATTTCATACGTTTTCAATGAATTAATGCATAGTTTCTAACGAATTATTTCGAAAAATTTGTAAAAAAAAGTATTTATACTGTTGTTCTTTCTTTTAACGATAATGTTTGTTCATAGTTTAACTGAGAATTCAATCTACTACTAATTAATAAATAATTTTATAATTGAACTCATAAGTCAATTGAAGCTAGATCACTATGGAAAACCTGGAAGCACTGGACGGCTGTTTCGTCCTAGTGTAGGACTCGCTGAATGCCGGTTCAGTGGTTTAGAGGTTAAGCGTTCGTGTACGAGACCGATAAGTCCTGGGTTCGAATCCTGAAAAGCAGGATAGTGGACGCCTACTGCCGAGGAGTCCTATATTAAGACGAAACGTCTGTTCAATACTTCCAGGTATTCCATGGTGGTCTATCTTCAATTGGCTTATGAATTCAACTATAAAATTACTAAAACTTTCACAAAACAGCCTCCCGAAAATAATAAATCATTGTTAATGAAATTAATTTGTCATTTATCATCTTTTAATTCCATACATAAAAATGAAAGAAAAAGGTATCCTATAGAGTTAAAATTCATAATTAAAGGAATAACACTTCCGAAATTCATATGATTTACATTAATTTGTTGTTTTTAGTGTTGCTATGATGAACTATTTATTGTGGAATTTTATTACTAACAAAATGAAATCAGTCAAAATAATCACTAAGCTTCATTGTTTGTTTGTTTGTGTGTGTGTTTGTGTACTGAAAATTTTCTATGTCAATCAAATAAACATTCTATCGATAAACTAAACGATTATTAATATAGTCTGTATGCATTCTATCACAGGTGAATCATTCTTCTTATATGATACTTAATGTTTTTGATCTCTAAGAATAAAAAGATTTTTATTCGATTTTTTTCACAGGAATTTTAGTAACAAATGAAAACAATTAGTGAATTGTATGTTTGTGAATCTTCTTAACTTTTGAGTTAAATAATTGTGTAGATCACTGGATAATCAATGATAATATGAATAGTATAATACTGGGTTCGAATCTCGCAGGGGGCGGGATCGTGGATTCACACTGCTGAGGAGTCCTATTCTAAGACGAAACGGCTATCCAGTGCTTTCAGGTTT